TATTGTAAAAAATAGCACGCCAAACAGTTTTTGTTTCATTTAATTGTACTATTATATTCAATGTAAAATAGTTTACAAAAGAATAAAAAATGTTGTAAGTTTATTTTACGAAACTAAAAATTGGTTTCTACATATATTTAAAATTTTATGAGAAAAATGCGCTGTTGCTATTTCTTATTGCGTCTTTTTGTTCTTTACGCACGATATTAAATTATGTTATTTTTGTCATAAAGATTATTCAATAATAATATGATAAAAGTTCGCAAAATTTAAATACAATTTTTATGACATATTTATCTAATTATATTCAATTTTGTGTAAATTTTTGAAAGTAGTTTTTCTATAACTAGACAAAATTATCCGACTTTTGTCTAATTAACCTATTGGATAAATGTATTGTTAAATGCGAATAATATTTTAATAATTATATGATAAAAAATTCTAAAACAATTTGAAATTGTATATTTATTCATTTCTTAAAGTTTCAAATAAATCTTGAATAACTGAGAAATCATTGGAATTATCTTAAGAATACGTTTTTTTAATTTTCTTAAGAAAAGAACTCTTCAATAAAATTATCTTTCAAAAAAATCCAATTGCAATAAATACAATAAATACAATACATACAATTTTGGTATTTATGGGCGCATTGTCTTTTTTTATATTTCTCTTTTCTACTTTTAAATAAAAATGCATCAGTTTTCCATTGTTGTTTTATACGTAACCTGTATTGTTAAGGTCTACCATTTTGAATGCAATGCGGGCGCTGTCTCATTTTCGAGGGGTTGATCTATCATAGGTCCAGTATTCTGCCCCTGAACGCCCCTCGCAGTGTGACATTTATTTAACAAGGTAACGGTGTTAGATTGTTAAGTCGAATTAGGGGATCCCTCGACGTGAATTCATGGGTCTAACGACCAATAGGATTTATTATTACTGGCACCGTGCGCGATTTTTAGCTGTAACGACTTTTCACGATGGTTACTTACTAACGGATTTTGTTGCATCGTCACATAGCACAGTTGTACCTTTTTGTATGGATCTTTATTGTTCTCCAACCTCTTTTGCTTATTTTTTAGCGTTAGGAAAGATATATTTGTATAGTCAATCAAATGCTGTATTTCTATTTGATAGAAAAACATTAATTATTTTCGAAGTAAATTATAATTATTTGTATGTTTAGTATATGTATAACTAACTGTGCATTTGAACTATGCAATTAATTAGTTTATTCGCTAATTAGAAAGACAAAATAAATATTAAAAATCTTTAAATCTTTCTATATGTACAGATATTGGTTAAATTAAGATTAAATATTATAGATGAAGACAAATTATTTGTTTTTTTTATATTTTTAAGTTATATTTAATTTCTAATTATAACATTTGCACAGAAATGAACAATAAAGATCATCGAGATAAACGGAGATATTATAACTACAGAATGATCATTGGAAAGATGTCTGAAGTAAATTGCTATTACTTTGCAACGATTGAACAGAACGAAATGAATTAGACGTCGTTTTGTAGAAGAAACTCGTCAATTTTATTACATATAATGTAAAAAAATATACAATAATTAAAATAATTAAAGTAATTAAAGTAAACATAATAAAGAATGCTACAAATTTGTCTGGACGCTCAATGATAAATATTTTCAAAGTGTTATCCATCGGAAAACACTGATAAACTGAAAGGTAGTATTTAAAAATGCAAGGCATTTTCCCAATCATGTTAGAAAGTATATTTAAAAAAATTTTTGAATTTCTGTGCCGATTTCGACAAGCAACACTTCGAAAATATTATCACTGAGTGCCTAAACAGATTTATAGCACTTTTTTATAATGTTTATTTTAATTACTTTAGTTATTTTAAAATATTCCAAGGTAAGAAATGGGCAAAAGAGCCGCTGTTAGTGCTAGAATCTTATATTTTAGAATTAGTTCACATACATATACGTTTCGATTCTCAATCAAACCAGCTTCAGTAAATTATAATTTAACGTCAAAATATAATGGTCAAATTAAAAAAATTGTGATCATCTGCACAACGTTCAAATAAATTTTTCGCAATTAACACCATGGTTTGATCGAAAACCGAGGTATATATGTATGTACTGATTCTGAAATACAAGAATCCGGCACTAACAGCGTGCACGGCTCTTTTGCCCATTTTTTATCTTGGAATATTCTAATTACACAGAGCCTATCAGGATTTAATTTGTTAATTATTTTATTATTTAATTATTGTACACTTTTTTCATACTATACGTAATAAAATTAACAGATTTCCTCTATAAAGTGACATTTAATTTATTCTATCTATTCGTTTACTTTTGACATCTTTCTAATAATCATTCTGTAGTTTTTGACAACATTCTAATTATTTTTTTAACAAGATGCATATTGTAAGAGATTGAATGAAATTTAATAGACTTGCGTACATCTCTTATCTTATCTACTAAAACATATTTCATAATGAAGCGAACAAAAATATATCGAACGCCTAATCACTCTCACAGCATCAAAACAATCTTAACGATTTATTTAATTGAAAGATTTCAATTTCATCTAATATAAATATTTTAAACTAACATGTATTTAAAATAAAAAAGTGAGAAATAGAGAGCGTGCCGAGAAAAGAAAAACTTGTATTGAGGCGGCATATAATATGCGCGTCGCGTCGGTCTGCAGGATATCATTATCATTTAATTATCGCGTTTGACAAAATATTTTCCACAGTCGTTAACATCGCAGATCGGTGATTTCTTGTCGTTTGCTGCGGCACATAAAATTTAATGTCTCTATGATTTATGGTTGCTCGATATCTGATCATTATTTTTATCGGCGCGCGAACGAACATTGGTAACCCCGCTCCTGCTTCAGGAACACCGGATTTCTATTATTTTAATGAACATTTCAGTGAGCGCGTGTCACTACGTTACAGAGAGCGCGCGGTTTTCCGGAAGAAAGATATTCGCTTTCTGATTATTATTTTTATCGCGATTGTTTGAGAATCGTGGAAACAGGCTACCGTTCGTTAAGAAAGGTTTATAGGAGGAATCTTAAAATGCTTAAAATAAGGTCGCAAAGTTAATTGTAAAAAATATTGTAATATTGTAGAATAAGTGGAATTTGGTAGAATTATTTTTAATATAGATTATTATTTAATTCAATAATATTGCCGCGTAATGAGATATTAAGTTAAAAATAATAATGTACATGTTACTGTTAAAACCAGATTTAGGTAAATTAGTTAAAACTAGTTGGAATTAAATTTAATTCATTGTTTTTAGTTAAAACTATAATTTATTGTTTATTTATCAATTAGAACTAGTTTAACTTTAATAATGAGCCCTATATTTGCATATGTTCTTTTGCAATAAAAGTTTAAAATGCTTGAAAACTTATTTATTTATTTTATTCAAATAAATATATAATTATTTATTTTATATATTATATAAATTTTATTTGATTTTAAATTGCCTAGTGATCACATTTTATTTCTATTTCAAATACTAATAAATTATAATCGACAAATTTTTGATAAATCTAGTTATAACAATAGGTATTAAGTACTACTTTTTGATTAGTTAATTTTAGTTTTAACTAATTTCGAATTTTAACAATAACATATCAAGAATTATTAACGCAGTATTAACTTTTCTATTTATTTATTTCTTTTTTATTTTAATTTATATAGAAATTCTTACAAATTTTACTAATGATATTTTATATTAGTATGTTATTATTAAAATTATAAAAATGTAATATCTTATTGAACATTGATTATTTTAATGACAAAACCGTACAGTTACTTCCTCTGTGGCTCAGTATCAAAAAGCACACACACATTTCATTTTAACCAACTGGCAATAAAATAGAGCTCTTACATCTTTACTTACGTCTATATTAGCATTAGCTGGAGAATTTTCTCACAAATTCATTTTTCGAATAAAAGACATTATTATAAAAAATAATGTTAAGTTATGTTATTTTATTAATTTAAACAAAAGAAACTAAACATATATTAATATAATAAAAAGCGTTTTTAAAATACAAAAAAATTTTATAAAATAAAATTTATGTAAAATATTTTTTTATTAGCATTGTAAGTTGCATTGTTATGCCATTATAAATATTTTATTATATGTCTATGAAGTATGATTGTTTGTATTTTTTCCAATTTATGTATTATAAAAATCCTAACAAACGTTGCACCTAAAAGCAACAAAAAAAACATGTGTTTAAGCAGAGGGCAGTAAAATCTTTTTCCGATTACAAGTGTTTCAAATCTATTTTTGATAGGCTAAAAATAAAAATGCATACAAAATACACATACATGAATATGTATACATTTATATATCATATATATACGATATGTATCTGATCTAATCAATTAATTTTATTTATTAGTTATCTATAGTCGGTAGATAGATTTCTGTGCATCGATACGTTTAGTAAAGAACAATGTTTCAAAAATGCGTATATAAATGTTATATCATTCTTAAATCCATAAAATATATTAATGTATAAATAATTTGAAAAAACTCCACTTTTATATTTATATCATCTTATAAAACTTTATCTTTATTTTTTATATAATTGCGTCTTACGTAATTCATATAATCAACTTATCAATAAAAGTGACAGAATTAGAATGTCGAAGTGTTTTCATATATCATTGATTATCGTTAAAAAGGTGTGCTTCAAGGTCAATATAGGTATTAATCAGTTCTCAACACTTGAGTTGTTTGCAGAAGATGTTTTCACACGTTTCGTCGCATTTGCAGTGCCTCCCGTTGACAACTTATTCACAATATTATAAATAAAAGCTAAATTGCCATTACTGACCGGCATTTCTTATCAGCCAGCTGATTCTGCAATTGGCGAAAAGGGGGCGCAATCATTCCCTCTCTCTCTCTCTTTCTATTTCACCCCTTCTCTTTCTTTCTTACCACCGCCTACGTTCAAGCTGAATTCAACACATTGACTACCGACGTATGGAAGCCTCGCGCAGTGCAAAAGACGCATACGTATCGTCGATATCGGGAAAATGAGCCGCCGTTACTCTCTCGCATGTCGCACGCGTACGGGAAGTATTTCCGCGTTGTAATGCGGAGCATCGCGATATCATCGAGGTGTCGGGGTGCTGCGTTAGCATGAGCATTTCTCAAGATAGCGCCGCTACGATCGTGTGCAGGGAGGTCTTCGACGAGTCATCTCATCCGACGAACGAAGGTACGTGGACGTGATCCAGGAGTCGCACAATTTTGTACAATCGTTTCATCGCTCCCCTATCGTTGCATTCGCGGCTCTGTAATAAATTCGCAGTGAATTGAATTTGTCGATTATCGAAGCGAAAGCTGTTCAACAAGGGCGTTTATTGTCAAACTGATCGATGCTCCTTCCCTCCCTTCCGCCTTGTGTTCCTTGGATGTAACAATTTTACGTAAATTTTATCAAATGTGTGCGAGTCTCAGGGAGTTTTTTTTAATAACGTAGATGATTACGCGTTTATTCTTTACAAAAAGAAATCAATTTTGACGTGATCCTTGCCGGCAAACTTAACTATTGTATTTACCTTGCGCGGTGAGCAAAATGATTAATTAGCACTTCGATGTGAGGTGAATCTAGGTGATAATACGCCGATCTTTTTTAATACAGCAGGGTTATCGTATTTAGGCCACGGCGGCTCCATTCTGATAACATCTAAAACATATTTACTTGTTTTATTCTCGACATTTTGACAATTTTACAAGTGTATTTACTTTATTTCGTCACATTTTATTTGAATTTTGCAAACGCAAAAATGTTTGTCACATATATGTATTTGAACAGATAATTTTGTCCATTAATTTTTCTGTTATTCCACCTATCGTCTGTTATTCACATACAACGTTAGTTTTTAAAAATTGATTTCTCTGCGTTTTTCTTAAATAAAGCATTTATGATCCTAATTTTGCTGACACTTGAGTATGTCAGATACGATGTTTTATTTAATTGTTTATTACACGAAATTAAATTATCTCTTCTATTTCTCGAAAACGCTTGTACATTCGCGCAACCATTATTGGTCAATGCGCTTTTGCTGGGAAAAGGGACGGAAGCAGCGAGGAAATATTCGCATAAAAATGAAGTAAACAAGTTTTATTCCTGAAAGAAGACACGCTTAATTTAAGATCAGTCGAACAGCGAGAAGTGCAAAAGAAACCCAGTGGCGAGTTTTCGTGTTTATTTACATCACACCAGGCGGGAATACTGAGCTGGTTTCCCAGCGCGCTCCTGAAAATCAATAATTCGCAGTGCGGCGAAAGTTTTGACATAGTACGCGACTGCTCTCTGTATCGCTCCACGCCAAACAATCCGCCTTATCCGCCGGCCGAGACTTTTCAGATCACAAGCGGAATTCAAAATGACGATTTTTCCGTCGTGACTTTTTATCCCCCGTAGAACAGCTCTGTCGCCGTGGCTGGAATCACGATTGATCGAGCCGGCGGAACACGTACCAAGACTTTGACCGGCGGAGCGAGGGCAGATGGTAGCCCGACTTGCCCCTATGCGACAGCCACTACCACCTGTCCTGCTTGTTGGGGCTGATGGAATTTTTTATCGAGATCTTTTGTCGAGGCACTCACGGCAGGCGAAAATCCTGATGACCTCCCGGCGTTTGACCCAAAGCCATGGGTCATTTTTGTCTCCTACCGGAATTTTTCAGCTCTTCTAATCACTCTGGATGAATAGTTTGGATCATGCCTTCAGGCGCTGCACTGACTCGTGGATAACGGCATACGTTTGTGAAAAAGATTGAATGTGTGTCATTCGCGCATAAATGGAACTTTTTGTATATGGAATTTTGAATAATCTTCTGGATTTTTCAGTGACAGTTATCTTATTTTGTTCGCTGAATATATAATAGCGACGTATCGGCATACGAAATATAAGAAGATATTTCTTACACCTGCAGACAAAACAATTACGCAATTAATTGTTAAATATAATAAGAATTTGATATAATAATTATTTCAATAATATCTGATAATTTTACTTATTTATTCATTATGCGATTGCGCTAAATCGCTAAGAATCACTAAGAAATCTCATGTCTGTGACGTAGAGAAGTTTACTTATTTTACAGTAGCTGTTACGCATATCTAATTTTAGGACTTTTATTTATGATATCATCTTTCACATGTTCTGTACAAATACGTAGCAAGCGCTCGGAACACCTGTTAATTTTAGTGATTGAGAAAAATAATATTAAAAATATTAGTATAGTTTATTGTTCTATATTATAAGAATAGTTTTTTAAAATTATTGTACAACATAGTAATTAATATGCACAATAAATGCCTTGGATGTACGTTAATCAGTGATTCAATTTAATTGCAATTAAAATTCATACTTTTTTCTGCTTTATAAAAACGATAATACTATTATATCAACACTTTTATTTCACCGACAAACTTGATAAATTGTTATAAGCATATTGCCACAGCATTATATAGAATAAAATTTCGCGCTTTAATACTTTTAACCCGGTTAACTATGATCAACGAATTGTGCAATCTGAGCGCGATATAATAAGATGCACATCAACTTTCTAATCATCGAAGTTTACAAGGGCATTAATAAATCATGGTATAAAAATATTATGTTCCGTAAATAATTAGATTAATATTACCTCGAATTTATCGGTCTTTTGCTTTATTGATCAACAAATTAATTGTAATAAAATGATTACATTAAAGCTGCCGCAAAATATGAAAAAAAACCTATTTTATAAATTAGCAAACAAACTTTCATTTAAATACGATTTTTTATTTTAAAATACTTTTGTGGCCATAGTGAATGTAAATCGTATTCTTTCAACGTATTTTTATTCGATGTGTTAGATCCACTCGTGATTTTTTTATGTGAGTTATCAAAATAAATCTACTTTTTATCACCCATCACAATTTATCATAAAATTGATTTTTTCTGTTTAACGATCAATGACAGGCTGATGTTTATTCGATTTCCAATCACATCCTTTGGACAATTTATTTGGGCCTTTTATTTGTCTTTATTCTGAGGCTTTAATTACTTTTAAATGCCGAAAAATTACTAATGCCTTTTTAAACAAACTGTAAAGAAGTAATTCTGTAATTTTAGAGTTGCTGGATTATGCGAGACGTCTGGGAATTGATCCCGATGTGGAACCACACCTTCTGGACTTGGCTCGCGAGGGTCTTATGGCGGCCCTACCTAAGGGTTGGTCTCCGTGTTTCCACGAGGCCAGCGGTGCCTGGTATTATTACCAGGAATCCACTGGCACAACCACCTGGGAACATCCTTTAGACGCGGTTTACAGAGGTCTTGTCGAGCAGGCTCGAGCAGGCAACAGAAGACAATTGAGTTTTGGTATGCAATCTTAATTTCTTTACATTCACGATGGTTCTGTTTAAACAAGATTATAATAAAATGTTAGATTTTTTTAGATAATCTTGTACTCTTTTTATATTATTAATTTTTACTTTTTTAATACTTTTATATATAATTTTACCTTTATAGTTCTTTTCTTTTAAATTATAATCTTTGAAAGATAAATGATAATATAAAGCAATAAAAAATGTATTATAATAATAGATGTGATTGCAAGATCTTATTTCGAAAAGATTTACACTTAAAATACACACACACACACACACGTCTTGTTAACAACAATGAATTTAATTAAAATTTTCTCTCATTCCCAATTCGAGATTTCATTATCTTAACATTCGTCGTAATTAACGTAATGCAACTATGTTTTCCACATTTGCCTCGTGGTGACTATTTCAGTTCTCAGGAGATTAAGTAATTTAATCTACGAGACAGCATTAATCGTGCGTGCTGTACGCTCACCACTTGACACTCGACACAGCACGCATCCGGATGGTTCATAACAATCTGTAAAATCCTACGACTTGGCAGTGCAATGTGCAACTGGCTTTGCATCAAAATTACGAAAATCACGGTCATATTTTTAGATTTCGCAAAGTATTGGCCGTGAATATCGCGTTACGGCCGTTAGAGAGAATTTGATACAGTATTTCTCAACTCGTATAATATTTTACGACACTGTCGCGTGTGCTTTTCATATTTCAAAAATGAAAAAAACTTTATGATTAAAAAGAAATGACCAAAGTTAATACATTTGTATTTAAAATAACCATTTAATCGTTATAATCATTTTTAATTAATACTGAATATTTTAATAACAGCAAAACAAATCCAATATAATTTATCAAACTTTTTATATTTTTAACTGACATTCGTATACAATACAAATAGCGTAAATAATGTCTTATATTTCTGATTCAGAACTTTTCGCATTTTGTATATTCATGTAATATTCGTATATTATGACACAATAAGTGAGCTAATAAAATTTTAGTTGTAAGTTTTTTATTAACAATTATAATGTATAAATATCTAGACACAATGTGTTCAATCCAAAAAGTTTTAAATTGGAAATATAAAGTATTATTGACGCCTAGTTTAGATATATGTATAATCGCTTAAAAAGAATGCAGGAAAAAACAAAATACAAGGAAGATTGAACATTCTTATTGTTTTCAGAAATTATCGTCAGATTATTATCAGACAAGTTGATAATCATGTTTCATGATAACTGTTATGATATGACACAAACTGAACGATTGTAACGATTTTATATAATTTATTATAAATTTATTGTTCATAAAATTTAATAAAATAACGTACATAGTTATTAAAATTTTTTAATATTATGATTTATATGTGTGAGTTACGGATGTAACATAACATAAGAATGGAAATGTACAAAAACATTTGCATCATAAGCTTCTACGATATTTTAATACGTCGTATTTATCAACTCTTACAAAATTTTGTTAAATATAGCAAAAAGTGTGTAAAAATAAAAAATGAATTTTTTGATATCGCAGAAGAAGATTCAAAGACTACAGCAAAGGATCTTGAGTCTCACGAGGATGCCACATTACCGAAAGAAACTGCTATTCCAAAGGAAATGATTATCTCAAAAGAAACTGCTAAAGAGACTAGTCAATCCAAACCTGGCATAACGAGCACCAAGATTCCTATGAAGTTGGTGCCTCTGCGTAAAATCGAGCGAATTGACGGTTCGCGTAAAAAGGATCGTCCTTCGTCCTTCGATAGGCTTCAGTCGCGAAGGGAAAGCGACTCGAAGTCCGACAATGTGATATCCCTGTCGAGTGATCGAGCTGCCCGAGATTACACGAACTTGAAATTTCAAGACCCGAAGTTTTATGAATGTCCGAAATTGCTAGAAATCGCGGCGAGCGCGATCGCGACGAACGCGACGGCCGTGACGACGACACCGCCGAAGAAAGAACTCGATCTGCGGGAAGTGCTAAAGAGATCCGAGTCACTGAGTCCGTGGCACGAGAAAGATTGGGAGCAGCTATCCAGCAAGTTTAGCTCCGAAGAGAATATAATCGACATCGACAAACTCAGCGCCAGCACACTGGCTAGGCCAGAGAAGTCGGAGAAGTTCGATAAAGAAAAACATCCAAGTCAATTGGGCCAGCAAAAAGAGTTGACCCTTAGTGGCGGTGGTTCGATGTTTCTGAAAAGTAATAGAAGTAGGGATACGACACCCAGCCAAGACGGTGGCAAGTTGGAAGATTTTCGGGCGTTGACGATCTCTGATGAAAGCAATAATGTTGCTGGAGACAGGCCCAAGTCCATTTTGAGAGAGAAACAATTGGAAGATGGTAAGACTGATTGCACTGACCGGCAAAATTAATTATTTTTTTATTGTCCGGAAAGGAAGAGCCAATTTTTCGTAGTTTTTGTGTATTAAATCCAAATCTGGTCTCTAAATGTAAGTATTACATCAGAATTTTAAATAAAATTTTAAAATTTAAGAAAATATGAGAAAAATTAAGATGCTGGCCATATTTGCAATTAAAAAAAAATTTTTTAATTACTCTTATCTTAAAGTACTTTCTTTAAAATATGAAAAAGGAAAAAATAAAAAATATGAACTTGTTATTTTGCATAAATCGTGACGCAGATGACTCATATGCAGTTTGAATAACATTGAATTAAAATAAAAAATGTTACTAAAGAAATTCGGAACTATTTTTCGCAAATTCTTGAATTAGTATTAGGAGACAAACTTCGCTAATATTGTATCTGACCTTTATTTAATTATTGATAGAGGATCGACCATTGGACGAGGAACGCAAAAGCGTGCGCTTTGACTTGGAAAAGGAAATCAACATCAATTTTACATACTCAGAATCCGAAGACGAATGGGAGTCAGAATCTGAAGATAAGAAGCCGCAAAAATCGGCTATAATCAGCAATAAGATTACTAGTGCTATTCTATCACCGCGGACAACTTTTCAATTGTTCGGCGATAACAATAATGACAATAAAAATGATGATCTTTCGGATGAAAAGGATCAGGATAAAATGGATTCAGAAATTAGCAGACGGCGTTTGTCTCTGGAGAAGCTCGAGACCATGTCGAAGAACGCAAAGCTAATTGGCAATAGATTCCTCGTTCAGAACGTTTCGGAAAACGAGAATCGTAGCCAAATGACAAAAAATATACAGAACAGCCTGGAAAAAGACAGCAGTTTTGATTATCTGCCGAATAAGCTAGGCGAGAAAGTGAAAAACATTGACTTGCCATCGAAGAGCGAAACAGATAGCACCACAAAAAGTAGCGATTCCGACGAGATGCGCAGAACAAAATCGATTTTTGAGAAAGCGCGGTATATAACAAAGCACTTGTCGAATCGACAGCTTGAAGATGACGAATCTTCCGATATTTCAAGAAACAATCAAACTTACGCGCTGAAAGAGCGATTTGTTAGACCTAAGTTAGAATATTCCCGAAGTATTGACGATATGAAGGTGAAGATGAATAGAGAACACGAAAAAGAAATCGAAGCCTTCAAAATCGAGCTTGAGATTAAATTGCAGGAAAGAAAGAGGGAACTTGAAGAAAACTTTATGCAGCAGAAGATTTTAATGCAGCAGTTTTTGGAGCAGAGATTAGAAGACATTAAACAAGAAATGGGTCAAAAGGTAACATCTTTTTTTGCAACATTTGTGAAATATTGTCATATTGTCGAATTTTCTTGAGACATGTAATATAAATTCGAAATGTTATCCGAAGAAATAAAACTACCATAAACAAAATCATTTAAATAAAGATTCTTCCAATTTCTTTATAAACAAAATAAAAAACGTTTATTCATTTTTACACTTTTCAGGAAAAACAGGAAATTCAAGTATTAATTACTGAAATGGACCAAACTAGAATGGAAAATTTGAAGAAAGTCCGCGCGGAACTGGAAGTCTGTTACGAGAAAGAAAGACAAGAGATATTAACCAATTTGAAGACAGAGCTTGACGAAAGGAAAAGAGAGCTTCTGGAGCTAAGAAATGAGGAGATGGGCAAACTAGAAAATGAGCATGAACGTGATCTCGGCGAAGAAAAGCTCGCGAAGCTAAACGAGTACGAGCTAAAGAAGCAACACGGTGAAAGAATCGATGTCTTGAAGAAGGAACTGGAAAAGGAATTTGAAGATTTGCGAAATGAATTGCGAACGCAGCAACGAGAAAAAATCACCAAGTTCACCGAAGATCACGAGCAGTGCCTAGCTGAAATTCTACGTGATTTCAGAATGGATGTAAGTTCTTTTCACATGTTTTAAATATAGCAATAATTAATCCATTAATTGCTACAAAAACTCTAACTAACGTATCAACAATTTGGCGTAAAAAATTATTAATAAACAAATATTTTAATGATAAACACACTTTTGCCGACGTCACGCATACATCAATCTTTATAATAATTAATTCAAAGTCTAAAACTCATTGTTAGCGATGCATCGCTTATATTGGATAAAATTCATCACTATTCTAGTACTATGAAAATTATTCCTTCTTTCATATGCAATTATATGAGACTTAATTTGTCCACTGCGGTTTCAGGAAGCTCTCGCTCGTAAAATGTACAAAGAGCGGCTGGAGGAAATCCGTGCGGACTTTGCTCGTGACACTGACAAAGAGGCGAGAAAGCAGTCCGAACGGGCTTTTCAACAAGACAGCATTGATTTTGAGAAAATGCGCTGTGAGAAGCGGCTATTGCAAGACAAGTACACGGCGCTCAAGGAGAAGTACATGAAGCTGAAGAACGACGTTCGCCTCGCTGTTGAGAGGAGGAGCAGGAGGAAGGAAGCTGGATACACTACGGCCTCGGAGACCGAAAGATCGACATCCACCAGAACGAGAACAGACAGAACTGAGTCATCGGAGCAAAAGTGAGTCTTTTTTATTGAGCAGAATTAAAGCTTGTAATTTAATATGTGAACGAAAACACGCTCGGACACTGAAATAGGCTAGTGGCACGATAGAAAAGAATATTAATAATATTTGTCGAAAATTCACAGAGTTCTTTTTCATTCTTTTGTACAATTATTTCTCGCTAAGATGATAAGTAGATGTGGTAGTTGCGATCGGATAATTATATGTACTTTTAATTATAATTTTTTAGATGAATATATACACTACTACACAACAAATAATACAAATTCGATAAAACATTACCGCAGACGAAAAATTAAAAAAGTATTTTAAAGCTTAAAGTATGTAGACACTATCGCGTACCTTAGATCATATTTTGAAAAACTTTTATCTTTAAACTTTTAAGTCCAAAAAAAAGAACATATTCCGTTCTTAAAATTACGTATGTTTGACACTCTGCTGGCTGACAATAAATGCACGCCATTAATGCGGCGAATAATGCCGTATTAATGGCGCGCATTTAGCCCTTCTCGGCCGCACTGCTCTATCGCGTCAGATGTTTGAAATTGATCAATTTTCAAACCGCTGTAACTCGGCGAAAAATCATTGTAAACAAAAAAAAATAAAAAGAGCATTTTAAAACTTGAAACTTATACTTTCACGTATTTTAGGGCATTTTTTAAAAGTTTTATTTTTCATACTTTGAAGCTGAATACGTATTTTCTACATTCTGTAACTCGATAAAACAAACTTTTCTTGAAAAAATTTATGACAAGTGCCAAAATTACAACATTTTACCTACACAACGCGTGTTTTTAAATCTTACTAGGATTTTTTTGTTCAAAAAACTGTCTAAAGCAAGTGAAAGTACAAACTTCAAATTTCGAAATACTTTTTTAATTTTTTTGTCTGCGATAATTTTTTACCGAATTTCTGCAGTTAGAAAATTGTTCAATTTTATGCGTTTGAAAGATGTTTTCTATTTTTTCAAGTCAAATAGTGTATATTTTATATAAATGGATCAAATAAATTAAATTTGACAAAAATTACTTTTTATATTGCTAGTCTATTTCAGCATATTTGTTATATGATATAAGAGAAGATCTAATTATTTAGCTCGTAGTTAACAATAATAGCGTGCAATAATCAATATCTGTATAATTCTTAATATAAGCACGCCTGGCGTACAGCACAAGCATGCATCTCACATTACATCTCATTAATATTTTCTTTTCTTAATGTAATCACTTGATGTTTTCATAGTAATTAGCGAGATTTTAACATCACCTTTAAATTTTATTATTATATTTGTATATAGCCATATAATTTGGTATAGTTATGCAGTAGTTATAATATTATCTGCAATAATATATATGCATTAGCAATATTAGGATGTTTCATAACTGGTTATATAATCAGAAAAAAGGTGATTCTATATGAAAAAATAATTCAAAAATATAGAATAAAATTTTTTCACGCAAAGCTTCGCTAATAAGCTCGTCACAAGCATGGAACGTAAAAAGAATGTTTCTATATTTTACAAAAGTTTTATAAAAGCTTTATAAAAATTAATTCTTTTATTGATAATAAACTGAATTGAAGGAAGGAGAGTATACGGAATGTAATAGACAAGAGAGAATGAAAAAAGAATCCAACAAAATTTAGCAGCAAAATCTAAAAAACGATGAATTTTTACGTAGAACAATGTAATAGTTAGCCAGCGATACTTAAGATTAAGATAAAGATAATTATTCTTAATAAATAGATATATTCTCGCTAGTTCTATGTTACAGCACTAAATGTTGCACGTTCATCTTTTGATATCATTCTCACTAGTACCTTCGCAGTCCATATATCGTCAGTCATTCTTTGTGGAGAGACGTACGTTTGTCCCAGTTGAGTTCATGAGCTGACTGTGAAGGTACTCTGTCATCTTCATGCGATTCGCCCTAATGTCTGGCTATAGGCCTTAAATCGTGCTCGCAGTACTCCGCTGGGGGATGCGCGCTCGAGTCCGGTAACAAACGCGAACTCGCTGGAGGGTCAGAGCGCGAGTGAACAGATCGAGGAGCAAAACGATCCGGACAATTCGAGGAGTCACAATTCGGCGGCCGCGGGATATCAGACGCACGCAGCCACCGCCACCGCCGCCGCCGCCGCCGCCTCCGCCGCTACTGCCTCGAAGAACGCGACAAAATTTGAGTCCGATGACACCACGACGGCCAGCGAGACGAATGCAAACATAATGATGAAGAAGAAAAAGAGCTTTAGTAAGAAAGCTGCCTCAAGCGCAAGTCGCTCCAGCGGTGGCAACAACAACAATGCGGATAACCCCGTGGAGAATATCAGGAAACAGCTGAAGAAGCTGGAAGATCTTGGCGACCAGCTGCCGAGTAACGAAACGGCCTATACAGTGCGATATCCTTTCCAAGATAAAGGTGATTGCTTTAAACCTATTTCGCGCGTCCTCACTTTGTCCATTTCCGAGAGAATATAAATTCTGCTCGCAGAGTCCCAAAGATTTAAAATCCAAGTTGAATATCAGAGGAATCAGGTTTAAGGAAGAAAACCTTGCTTCTTTTGAAAAAACGGTATACGTCTTTGTCCGAAAAGTTTGCTCTGCTTCGCAAGACTGAATCTGTTGTTAGGATTAAAAAAAAAAAAATTTTTCTTACAGTAAATTCGAATTCACTTTTCTTTTTATATTATTTATTTAATTTAAAGTAAAAAATTAATACTTTAAGATGGTATAAAAATTATTGAAAAAAAAATTTATTTTACTCGGAACAGCATTATACGATTTGACATATGTATTTTTCTTTGATTGTGTCAAAATGTGATGCGCACATTTTAAGAGTGGATTCGGACATAAAAACTACAACGCATAAAATTACGAAAAATTATTTTTTTTTTCCTAAACAATAACAAAAATATTTAATCTTACAGATTAATAATATTCAAATTTAGGTAGCAAGAGTTTAATATATGTGAGTTATTATGATATGAGATAAAATTGGATATTCTGTGGTATTGGTTGTGCAATAACATTGCACAACTGGAAAAAAATTAAGTTTAATAATAAAGTAGATAATTTTATCTTAGAATGTTTTGTATATAACATTATACGTTGCTTTTTCAAAACATACAGTTTATAGTGGCATAAAAATATACCGCGATCTAAAATTTATCTTTCAAAATACGCTGTATACAGCATAAAATATAACAATATTATGTTACACACCCTGTATAGGCTGTTACAGTATTTTGAACATTAAAGAAATATGATTGAGAAATTTTATAACCTATTAGGAAAAGTTTTGTAAATCGAGAAATATTGGGAAAAGTTTTGTAAATAATTAAATAGATTTGCATATTTATTATACATGTACAATATATTTCGCAACTGTAAATAATCATACTCTTGTATGTATCCATACTATTTTAGATCAATTTTATTGCATTGTCTCTTATCTTTATATCTTGTTTCTCTTTCCCCCTCTTTCCTTCAATCTCTTTTTTTCTATTAGAATATGGTTTGGACAATAGTGCAATGTTGTCTTCGATTATTTGTACTTTTTAAATTGTTAATTAAATATTTTATTTTTTGCACAGTATAAATAAATTGCACATCCCAATTTTATAAATAATGTAAATAATTGTACAACCAAGTATTTGCAAGTTGCTATTACTTTATATCTTTAAACTGAAACGAAGAATATCGTTACTTTCTGTTATCGTTATCAATGATACATACTCACGATTATGTTTTATTATTATTTCCTTTTTTTCCATAGGACTGTATACACTTTACTTTGGTTAATGGCTTATACTCTTCGACTTGCTTGTAAGTGCACTATTAATTTTTCTTTTGCTTTTGCATACTGATTTTAATCACCTGTTTCACATCCTTTTTTCGTCTCTTCTACAAAATTAAATTATAAATTTATCCTTTTTATTAAAAAAATAAGCTTTTAAAATGCTTGTAAAATTATTATAAAAACACATATTTATTTTTTGCTATTATCTTTTTTGTAGAGAGCCGTTATATTAATATGTAAGAAGCGTTTTACAAAGAAACTAATGATTTACATTTTCATCGAGATTTTAAAGATTTTTCTACAAAAAATGGTGTTTTATAAAAAGAAACCAAACTTTTTGCACAAAGAGGCTGATCTTACAAAAAGTGTGCAACATTTTAATACGATGTTTTATGAAAGGAGCTTTATTATCTATTTTTGTTTCTTTTTTATTTTATTCAGCAAAGTAGCGCAAGAGCTTGGGACAAGCCTAACGTTCAGAATTAGATTTGCTAAAGTTAGTCGAAGTTTAGAGTTGAACATGACCTTTAAATCAAAAGTAATTTCTTCTTACAGCGCCGGCGAATGTCTCTTCGGAGCTAGAGTTCTTCCGACATCGGATTCATGTGGAGAGGGACTCGGTAAGGAGGGCTCGCGAAGCGCTGAGACAACAGAAAAGTGCCTTTCAGGGTAGGCAAAGGGCTTGGAAACAACGGAGTGCGAGGGCCACTTTAGAACAATTGGTGCAGGTATTATTATAATTAATTACGAATTCTAAATTTCAGAAGCGCCCTGAATTAATTCATATTATTTGTATCGTAAAAGTTATCAAATTTTACAAACGTGATCAAATCTAAACAGCATCGTTATGTACATTTGCAGGAAGAACGTGAGCTCTCTGATATGGAAGTGAGTTTGCATCGCACCAGAAGTCTCTTGGGTGAGAAGGTCATTCATCTGAGGCATCTAGAACAGTCTTTAGAGCGTGTGGCAAACGACAAGCGAAACGAAAACGAAGCATCTGCGAAAAATGATGAAATGACACTAAGCGACATGTCGAGCGCCAGTAGCGGTTTCAGCTCAACTGATTTAGGGACTGATACTTTCATAGGTGAGTTGCAAACAAAATTTCGTAGATATTTAATAGTTTCAATATTCTCAACGGTATACAATAGGCAAGAACGAAAGAAATCCTTGATATTAATAATATATAAACAATAATTTGATATTTAAATAAGTCTTTGTACGGAGTGCGACAATAATCGTGATACAAACAGAAGCAAAGTGATATTTCGTACAAAAATAGATCAAAAGTGTAGAATAATATTTTTATACGAGATTTTATTATTGAGAAAGTTGACTTTAAAAAAATTAACATTTTTATATATTTTTAAGTTTAAATTTATTTATAATTTTGTAGATAGATATTTATTTGTCTTCAATCAGGATTACAATTTTCTATTACAAAAAAAACAAAAAAAAATTGTATATTTCAAAAATATATTAAATAATATAAAACGTACAGTCATTAATGCTTTATACAAATAGCTATATGAGTAACAGTATAAATTTGCGTTACATTGTATAGTCTGTTGTTGGAAATCTAGATAAGCCAGATCATTATCAAGAGTCCACCGAAATCATCGCAAGCTTAGAGACGTTAAATTCAGAAATACGAGAGATTTGGGACGTTTTAAACAAACGTCAAGATAGCAACATACCTCCAACTCCGACTCTTATGTACTCTTATCTGCGATGGTTGCGTTTTCATCATCTCACCGCGCAGCCTAATAGCCTGCAAGGTAAAAAAACATAATTTATGCAAATGTATAGATATTATTAAGAATCAACATAAAAAATACACTAAATATCCATAAAGTATAGAAAATAAGTGTTGGAAGCAAGTAGCTGAAAAGTGTTTCCTATTTTTATGGAGTCGTATACGTTCTTAAAGTGATAACGTAAAATACTTTTGTGATAAATATAATTGCGTGATGATTTTTCAAATAAATACACGCTATTATTTTAGCTTCTAGTAATTTTTTGACGAAAAAAAACTAAAAATTATTTTACAATGGAAATTATTTTATTTTAGAATTATTTTAAAGTAGAAAGGATTTTAAAATAGTATTATTTGATATTAGCAAACACCACTTAGCATGATCGAATTCAGATAACTTTTTATAAGTAAAATATGTTTTATCATATACGTATCACTAAATAGAAAAGTGTCATTATAAATTATTTAATAATTATTTATTTAATAATAAATTTTTATCTATAAGATGTTGTTAATAAAAACTACGTCCATTTTTTAGGTGCCTTTGGTACGCCCAACATACAGTCCAACATCCTGTCTCAATTAACCGCTGCACAACCTCCTACCACGACACAAAATATCATCGCTCAGTACGGCCCTAACAGTGGCTTCACCACCAGTGTTGGCACAGTCGAAAGAAACGCCTCGAATTTGATGGAAAGGACCAGAAATCTCAGGGATTGGCTACGCCAAGCTCGCGTCGAAACTACCGACCTGATCAGTCCAGGTCAGGCGACCCTTTAAATCAACAACGTCTAGAAACAAACATTTTTTCTTTTTCCCTAACTCCCTTTCCTCTTACAAAGGTCACCTTTATTCCCGGAGAATTATATGATTTTGAAATGTATAATTTGTTGTGCAAAAAGTACAAATTGTACAGTTACTCCTTCATTCTCCACATTTAATTAGCATTATACTTTTATCGAATAGTTAATTGTGCAATATATTTCTCGAGTTAATTTCAATTTATCTCACGTAGTTTACAATTATGAATTTGTTGAAAACAATGTCGTGATAATCCTATTTGAAACGTAAGCATACTCAATTTATATAGATTTCAATTTTACGCTTGTTTACTGCTCCGAATCTTGTTATCGTTATTGCCGAATCGACGATCAAACTCTCAAGAATACATTACGAAAGATAATTCGTGTGTGAGCGAGATTAAGTCACGGACGTGACAATTGCATATGATATAAATGCATATAATTTTCAATATCCACAACGTATTTTAAATTCGAGCTTCAACAGAAAATTTAATTGACACTGTGCTTTGATAAGAATAAACCCATATAATTTAATTAATGAACTGGATTAAGAATTTCTCCAATTTTTGCCGATCTTGCGTTGATACTACAGCGTGATCGTTTAACATTTTTACAATTATACTTCTTTAAATGCAAAACAAGATCATAACACACATGCAAAAAAAAATATACACGAGAGATTGTTAAAGCCAAACGTAACAAAACTTATGATTTTTCAACAAACTCTTTAGAGCAAAATATCACGAGTATATAAAGCAAATATTGTCCAATATAGAATTTAAAAAGTTTAAGAAATTATCCTAGAAAAACTAGTTTTCTCTTTTGTCTTCCAGCGTGTTATAAACTTAATTAGCTCTACATGTAGTGTGGTGTTGCATTGCGTGTTCTGTGTGCGATGAGATATACACCTTGACTTACCTTGATTTTCTGTTCATAAACTTCATATTGTACGTAAAGCTTGTAAATTGATGATACGGGATGGACGTGTATCTATGATTGGAATCTTTATAAGCAGAATGTTTCTCTTGTAAATAATTATATTCGATATCGGGACCGACGTCGCGGATCAACGCATGTTACAACGATCGGCCCGTTTTTTCGACAGTCTGTTGATTCTCTGTATATTTTCGAGATCGACTTTTTGACTAGAGAACAGCGTGTAACATGTTGTATAATATACTTATATTATATATTAGTCTAAAATGATGAATCACACGTTTAAAATGAATATATATTGTATTGTTTGATCGTGCGTATTCTATTTAATCTTTTACGGAGATTGAATCAAAAACATGATATTCTATCATGATACTTTGTAGAATATTTTGTAGATTTCTGGTAATTTGTATCTTTTATACTTGAATCACAAATCTTAAATTTTTATGTTGTACGGCTGTTTTGCGCTGCAAGAAAAATAGTGACGTACGCGCAAGACATCGCTGCTATTCGTAGGCTATTATCAATTAGAATTATGAATTTCGCGCGCAATCTTGGTAAGTTGCCTCGATATTTAATCAGTCATTTTTTAAATACCAAAACTTTCTCTTAATTAGCAAATGATATAAACACATATGCTATGTACGTCATGTAAATTGCATACTAAAATAGGATTGAAATATACCAAACATTTTTTGGTCGAGCGAATTTTCAGCGGCGACTACTCTGATGTATCTTAGAGAAAAATGATAATATAATATACACAATGTATAAATTATGTCACAATATCGTGATCTCATTAGATATACGATGTAGATTAATTGAAGATTGTACACTTTGGAATGTAGATATAATGTTGAATAATTATTGTAATTATATGTACATGTTTTTTATGTTAATTTGTGAAACTAGGCAGAGAGTTTTGTTTTATTGAAAGATGTAATTATCTATATGTACGTAAGTATTTTAAATCAATATCGTGTATCGCAATATTCGAAACTTAAGATACTTCGTGATAAATATACACAAGATATTTTAGGCGTAAAACATTATGTAGGATAACAAATTTTTATTTTTGTGTCGTACATCGTTACGGAAAAATAATTAATTTGATGGAAATTCTTAATACTTTAATTTTTTTTAAACTATATGTAAGGGAAAACTATAAAGCAATATAAATAATCATTTTTTATATAGAATATATACTTATAATTATGTAACATACTGTTTATTGTTTTTTGTTTTTTGTATAATTGTTATATAAATTTTATTTTATTAACTTTATTAACGTTTTAGGAAATCTATCGATAAAAAGCGTTCCTTTCTCTCGATCTCGAAAGCTAAACTTTAATTTTACAGATATCAAAAATATGTACCAAACATATTTTTAAAAGTTAAAACAAAGAAATTATATAATTAATTTAAAGTACAGATATAAAATTCTAGATTCCAAAGTGTATGGACTCTTTGTATTAGTACCGTCCTTATTATATTGCGAATATTTTTTATGCTTTCAAACGAAATATTTGCATTTATTTGCGAATTCGTACACATTAGGCTCGATTAATTAACTACTTTTATTCATTATTGTGTACTCTGTACTATTGATTTTAGAAATGCCATAGAAATGCCATAGTATCATGAATTATCTGCATAATACATACAAAAAGTATGAGCATAGAAGTTATAATTATTTATTATTATTACATACTTAGTTAACAATAATTTTAACATTAAATGTTTTTTTATGTAAAAACATTGTTGCTTTCTCTATAGTGTTGCAGTATGAAATATGTAAAAGAGAAAGAAAAAAACCGCATTATATATTAAAAAAACAAAAAATGCGCTGTTCAATACTTTACTTTAATTATTCCATCGTTTTCTCATTTCTTTGCAATGGTAATTGTTATTGCGATGAAAATAAACTACAATCGGTATGTTTGCTCTCGCATTTGTCGCTATTTGCTTCGAATTCCTCTACAGACGGTAGCCACGCAGTAATTCCATGTATGTAATTTTGCGATTTATTATTAAGGGAGTTTTGTACTGTTCTTATGACAAGAGATGATTTACATAACAGTAATCTAATGCAAGCGGAATCGGAACTACTCATACTCGCTATCAGTTGATTCGGTAGATTCGGATCCTTCGCTTGATCAACCAAGTTTCGGATCTAAACATGATAAGTAAAATTGTGTACTTTTAATACATTTTATGTTTATGCGTGGATATTTAAAAAAATTAATTTTCAAAAATTAATTAATTAATTGTAAATTTACAAGTTTTGATTAATTTCGAATTTGAAGTGCAACTATCAGGCAATATGATTTTAATTGTGAATTAATTTGAAGAAATTCATATCTAATTGAAAAGTTAGATAACTTAAATAAACTATTTAAGCATATTTGAATCAAGGTTAAAATCGTATATATTTCATATTGACAACTTACTTTTTCATTTTTATTGTCCAAAATAAATTTTAAGGGATCCCAAGCTAGATCTTTGTCAGCAATATTTCTAGCATTATTGTTTTGCGGCAATTTCAATCCAAAGAGCGAACTTATCTGTTTAAAAAAAAAATTATTTAAATGTGCTAAGTTTTACAAGAATAAAAAATCTGAATAATTTCTAATGTGCATATCTATACGTAAATTATTTACCATTTGGGCAAGAAATATGACGCTGTTAACTGCAATTGCTGCGACTTTAGGTGAATCAAGTCCGAAAAGTCGAAGGAATGCAGAAACGAGATTTGAAGGGCCAAATGGTTGCTTTGCCTCATTGCTCCCGTCTTCTCCTCGTCTCTCCTTATGACCTAAACTCTTAGATACTAGATCGGCAATATCCTTAGCTGTTTCCAAATAGTTAGTGGCGTACTGCAATCCTGATTTTATCTTATCTAGAACATCTGAGTATTAAAAAAAATACAATTATTCTTTTTTTCCTTGATAAATAATCACATTCAAAGACAGAATCAATAAACTAAAATCACTGAAAAAACTGAAATATTTTCATAAATGAAAGCAGATAAATAGGCAAACGTAAGTCTCGTTCGAAAGGTCTTGAAAAACCCTATCGAATGAAAAAGAACCGTTTCCGACTTAAATCACGTTTGACGGACGAATCTTTCGGACGAAAGTTGATGATTAATCAATTAATATTATCACTTACTAGTAATCAATTATAATATAATAGCAAAGTTTCTGTACACGCGTAAAAGATAAACTTTATAAAAGAAAAACAGGCTTACCTTCGGTCTTTGCGAGCTGTACACCGTCAAATATAGTTACCCAAAGAACGCAAAAGAGGAGACAAGAAGAGACACTGGACATTTCGTCGAATCAAACTGTCCCACAGCACTGAGACCGCTGAGGATCTTCGTAAAACAGGATCATAACGGATGTTTTGCGTTAACTGTGCGTTTATTTCCATTCCGTTGCGTCTCCGACGGAAGAAAATGCGAATGTCACTCTTCTTGCTTCGCCAGCCAAGCGCGAGAAAACGGCAACCGTGCTTCGCAGCGCGATTTAGTCGTGTTCCTGTTAGAAGTCATAAAAGGAATTATTAAAGTGACAGAGGTGCTGGAAGGAACATCTCAAATTCGCGTAGCTATCGTCGTCATCGTTAAAAGAATCTGTTCAAAAGGCATTTGACATATCAAACGGAAGTTCCTTGACTTATTTTTATAAGTATATATTGAAAATTGAATTTAAACACATTTTAAACATTTTGCGATGCCTAAAACATGTTACGTTGTATATTAATCACTAAAAATTTCAGAACTCCAACTATGTATCGCAATATATTAGTGTTCTGTGCATTTTACATTTTAAAAGTGGCATCCGAAGATCAATCAGCTTTACATCTGGATGAAATTCGCAGCTTAAGCGAATTACCAATGGACAAACTCATTCAAATTAAATCTTCTCTTGCAAGCGAAAATGGTAAATCATTGTAAATCTTTTATTATACATATATAATACTCTTTATATGGTCCTCTTATGGAGTTCCAAGAACTTTCGTCAGTTTCACAAATTTGCTAATGTACATTTATGTTTACTAATATTTTACTATTCATCACGCTACAACATTTTAATACAACATCTGAGAAAGATTTACGTTATAGTCTGCCTCAAATCGACGGGTCAATTCATACTTACCTAACTGTTTCCAGTGTTGGGAAACCAAACTGAAAGACAATAAAGATTTTATATCGAGCATCCTCAAAATCATGCTCTTAATTTCTGATGGCAGCTGAGAAATGTAGTCCACATTGTCATCTGCCATCGCTTATGCAAGAAGAGCTAATGCTCTTTACTGTGCAATAGCGATAGCACTTTTGGCATGACTGCTGCATTACCGCATTATTTATAGTAAATGCCCCACCACGTCTTATGAAAAAATCTATCAAAATTAGTGGTGGGGGGAACAAGAACAAATCAAATGTTATAAAGGAGGAGGAGGGGAGGGGATAGGGTGAAAAGGGGAGGAGAAGAGGGAAGAAAGTTGGAAATACATTTTATTCCAACTATTATTATACATTATATATCGTTGTACTTATTCTCTGAGTTTTCTAAATTTTTATATTTATTTCTATATTTATAGATATCACCGACGAAAATGAAAACGACGATATAAACGCGTCTAGCAGGAAATTACCGCTAACGCTGCCAATGGCACTGCCATTGAGAAGAAGTGGCAAGAAACCTACACGACGATACGAGGACCATTACGATGAAAAAGGCAAAGACACGAAGATTTCGAAAATCTTCCAACTGGCAATAACCGCTCTCTCATTTCTCGCATTCGGCGGCTATCTTCTTACACTTATAATAATGGCAATTCGTCGCAATTCGGCCAATGGTGGCAACGGAAATGTTCTGATATTTTCGGTAATAATTGTGCTTACGACCAAATTTCTCTGTGTTCAATGTACTTTTGCGGCTGCAAAATTTATTTAATGTAAATTTATAAAGCTTTGTGTTTTTTAATTGACTAAAACTTTTAATTCTCATGGTCAATCAATGCGTGCGTAGACTCTTGAAGATCTTTTTCCGAAATTCTTGTTATGACTGCTTGAATAGCTAGGATATCATCGTAGCAAATTCTTATTGTCGAAATTTTAAGTTTAAAAAATAGAAAGTAGTCGCATACAAAAAAATCAAATGATAAATGTTACAAATTTTAAGTAAGTGAATGCATATAATTTTTTTCTAGAATCTGCAAAATTTACAGAATTTGAACCGTCCCAAGCGGAATATTTTAATATTCGATCCGATGGAAAATAATTTTGAAACAGAGAGACTCTACGAAGGAATGATTATGCTTTCAAGAAGTTACGCCTTGTACAATTGAAATAAAACAGCAAATATGATATTTCATAATACAATAAAACATACAATTGAAATGTAAGCTTTACGATCAATTGAATTAATAAAAGTTTATTTTTGAATACTTCAGAATTAATTATTGATCGCCACAAAGCTAGCATATAAGATAACGTAGTCAAATATTACCTTGTGGATAATTGTAGTAAATATTGCGCACTAAAATAATTGAACCGATTTTTAAAGAAAGTTTTTTTTGTCTGATATTTGCAGTTTGATTGCTCATCGCACAAATCTGACAGACTCTTGAAAATCCTAAAACCTAATAAAATCGAATAGAGAACCGCGATGTGTACATATCTCGAAGAATATTCTTGGCGTGTGGGTGGAGAGGCAGCTTCAAACATGGCTCTTCAAATAAACACCTAAGTGACTGTGTACTCCGCAAGCCTACACGCAAAGATAACCATATGGCTTTTCCATAGATATCATCGACTACATATACGTCTTTATATCGCTGTATTATCGATATATGCGAGTAACGTGCAAAGAACTTCGGAATCCAATTCATTTTGAATGATTACATATGTCATCTATATCCGAAAATAGACATTATAAAACACTGAGCTGGCTAAAATTTATTTCAAACGACAAATTAAAAATAGCAGATAAATAAAGAAAAATTATTTGTAAATAATAAATAAATTGTATACACTATATGAATTTATTTTTGAAAATTTTATTTTTTATTCAACGTGCGCATAGCATCCGACGCATTATTTTGGTCAGACCGATCTTCTCGCAACCCCGCCTACCATTTTCGTGGACCAATCAAGTTAATCCAGCCAACTCACAACTGGTAGCAGTTTGATTTCTTTCAGCCGGAAATCTTCTTTCTGCGTAGCAGAGTTTCGTTCACTCATTCACTTTTACGTCGTTCTACGGTTCTCTAGCAATATTTTGACAAAAATCATAATTATTTAACGATAAAATTCCGTGTCAAAAATTACTTTGTATCAAAATTACATTTAATACACACATTTAATGATTATATTACGAAACAAAAGTGAAGTGAATTAAAGTGTAAAGTGTAGTGAAGAAATTACATTTGTTGTGCAGATACCGTTGAAATTAATTTCACGTTATTTTAAATATTAATTCTCAAAATAGACACATATAAAATACCATTATAACATATAACACATGCAAAATACCACATATAAATGACATATATAAAACAGATACATAAAATGCGCGTTTTCGAGTAGAGCTATGAATGTGATCGACGACATTGTGCACAGAAATTTAACAAGTTTGAAGAAAAGAAGAAAATAAATGACGTTAACACTCACATCATGGATAATGCTAATTCTAAACAATTGAAGTTTGGCATAGACCGCATACTGTCAAATGAAATATGCGCAAAAAAAACAGGTAAAAGTTGATAATTATGCAAATTTTTTGGATAATTTAAATATATATTAACTTATTACGTTTTAATACCGTAAAGTGTGGTTCTTCAAAAACAAATAATGATAAAAATAGCAATAAGAACAGAAGTGCAGTTGTCGAAGCACAAAAACTGTTCTTACTTATTATCAATTAATATACAGTAAAATGGACATTTTTGTCACAATTTCAAGTCCTTTTCAGCTTGAAAAAATAAAAAAAAGAAAAAAAGGTTTAACTTTTATGAAGAATGTAAGAAAAAAATATAAAAACGGTTGATTTTATGTAATAATTAATGGAATAAAGGCCGAAGTTTTATTAACTATGCGCGCAGCACCGACCGAATATGAAATATGTCAAAGCAAAACTCAGTCAATTCCAAAGAAAAAGAAAAATTTATACATTTAATTTATACAATTTATATTTTGCGAGCTTTTTTTTAATTTGTTGAAAATGTATGTGTTATTAGATATTCTTAAGCCACTTCCAATACAACTCCCGGCATTGCGTTGTCCTTGCATTGAAACTTGTGGGCAATACGAAAGTATCCGAAGATGCATTACATTTCCTCATTCGCAATTATCCGAGAGCATCGCAGCATCTGTACCTTATGACGGAATAATGGAGAGTTTAGGAACTTTATATCGGCCAGCGCCATTACGCCCAGTACCAAGAGGTAACAAGTTATTGTAAATGTTCTATTTAAAATTGAAAAAAAACGACTTCTATTCTAAAAAAGAAAATAATGCAAAGAGATTTTTTAATAATTTGTTAAAGCAATTTATCAACAATCGATCGATTAAATCTGACAATAAATGGGCGCGTTAAATCTTCGAAGATTTGTAAAATTATTTTAAAAAGATTCAAGTAAAAATCTCCACAGTTTGCGTCATTGACAAATGTTACCATATGGACACACTGTCTTGTCCCTCTGATATTCAGGAGCAAGTAGAACAAAATATTTACATGTCAGTGTATTCTCGTGTTTCCTGTCTGCGTTTAAACGACATCTTAAGTGCCACGCAAGTGTTTATGCACGATGTAAACAGCGGTCTCGATACGTATTTTCTCGGTTAGCTGAAATCTGGGTAGCATCCGTGTATCTTTTTCAAATATTTTGCAATTCCTACAATTAATAATCAAACTATACACCGCATAGCATAAAAATCTCATTCTGATGTATATTTTACAAATTTATCCTTAACGATCATGTGTAGAGTCTAATAATTTGTGTTCTTAGTAAATTTTATTTAACAAATTAAACTGTATTAAAAATAATAAATTAATATAAATCTAAATAAAATATACAAGTATAAAAGAATTTCTAAATAATTACAAATTTATTATAAATAAAATGGAAAAGATACTTATTTTCTCTTGAAATGCAATATCATTTTTATTGCGCTTTTTACACTTTCTTCGAAATGCTAACATACTTGTTTAAACTGTCATAATAATTCTTTGTATATAAAATAAGAGAACCGATCAAATGGAGCAAAATCTACAAATTAGAAATACTCGAAAAAAAAACTCAAAATAACCACGATGTTAGAAATGTCTGTTCAAATTTGACGAGAGATTCGACTTGAGTATGGAAGCGTACTGTTTAAATACGTACAGATGTTGTATACTTTTCGACGGTTGTAAATCAGTTCCAAGTAACCCATCTTAGAAAGCATCTTCAGAGATTGAGATCTGTAAAAACTAATACAAATTGAACTAAGGGTAACGTTTATTTTATATATCGCTTTCATCTAATTCGTAATTTTTTCAATATGCATTTGTAATAAATACTTTTTAGAGATCTCCATTTATATCAAATTAAAAGTCTAATGTTAATCTAAATCTAATGTAATTAAAATAAGATTGTTAACATCATCAAATATGCAATTTGGGAAAATAGAAAAATACACGGACGGTTTCTTTGCACGACTGTGTTTCTTGATCTATACTTCCGATTAAGCATAAAAATTGATTATTAGATATATATATAAAATTGATTATTAGATAAATTCAGAAAATAATAATTTTTTAGCCCCTATTTCATCTTCCTCAACGATGAACTCTTCGGAAACAAATACACGAAGAAAGAGATCGTGGTCTAGAGCCGTGTTTAGCTCATTACAACGGAAAGGCTTAGAAAGAAGATTTTCTTTACAAAAATATATCACAAAGCCAGATAGGCGACAGTTGGCTGCGACTTTAGGTCTAACGGACGCACAGGTTATAAAATAAATATTTATTTTCACATAATACAGCATGTTATGTAAAATAAAAGAAAAATCTTAATATAATTTGTTATATTTTAATAATTACACTGCACGGATTTTTAAAGAATTAATGCCAATGATAAAGATTCAAGTTAAATTTCTTACTTTTATGTCATTAGGTCAAAGTTTGGTTTCAAAATCGTCGGATGAAATGGCGGCACACAAGAGAGAATGAGAACACTACATTGACTGGTCCAGACTCCACGCAGAAAGATTATCCGCAGAAATTGGTGAAATCCATTGCTAATAACGCAATGCAACAAGACGACGAAGATGTAGAAATCGACGTAGATTTATAAGATAGATGTAAAAATTGATTTATAAAAGACGTCATCACATGTGTGACAAGAAATAAATTTGATACATTTAAAAATTCATCAAAAGTTTGAAAGTAAAGTAAAGTTTAAAAGTATTATTGTTCTAATAATAATTTTATATAATGTACAACACTACTTGTGTGTGGCGAAAAATAGAGAACACCTTTCAAACGTTCAAAATCGAGCAATTTTCAAGCCACTGAAACTCGCCGAAAATACGACATCGAGCGAAAAAACTTTTTTCTTGTTTTCAGCGCTGTATTTGTAAATATTGTAAATGAGTCCCATAAGTAATGTAATAATCTGCATTAATAATTAAATCGATTCTGTCGTCGATACACAATTCTTTTGTTCTAGTATGCTTCTATGGCAACGATTTTGTTATTTCTTTTCTCATTAGTACAAATATCTTTAATTTGACTGCCGTTAAAAGACAATATTTTGTAATCGTCTTCTAAACTGTGTGTATTTAATAATAGGTATACGAAAAACTAAATTTTTATCTCTTTAATTGTGTATACATTTATTATCTTACATCTGTGTTTGCAAACGATCTTATATTTATTGAACTAATCTGTCTATTTAGGAAGTAAGACTACGTGTGGTGTACATGTGTAATTTATTGTTCATTATAAAATAACTACAAAATGTATTACTCGACGCAATTTGGTGTCGCTGCACGGCATCTTTCGTTGCAAATACTCAGAAATCGCTCAACAACGAAATTGGCAGACACATTGGCAGCTACCAAAGAGAGAAAATGCGTGTCAATTAACAGTAATGATATAATAAGTAAGACATGTAGTATTTATAATTCTCTTTCTTATCAAACAATCATATATTCAATAGCTCTCACGTTAAACCAGACATTTTTATCTTTTCTTGTTAAAAATAATAACTTGTTTAAAACAAATTAACATAATTGATACAAAATCTTTTTTCTGTATTTATTGCATCAAAAATTGAATTTATTAAAAATGTTAATGCTTGAACAATATTTATTTTTTATCAATTTTGGTCAAAATATTAAATATTTTATAATAAATATTAAGAAGTTTTGAAGACAACGTTTATTGACAGCTGCCTCTATGACGCCACCACATTTAATGAGCGCAACTGTGACGAAAGCAATGCCATTGTTGGAAACGGCAAATTCTGAGATAGTCGCAGAAAGTTTGGAGATATCTACGCCCAAGGCTGTACCACGTGCTTATGTGGATAAAACGCTTCGTCCGTTCGAGGAGATTCCTGGCCCGGCAATACTGAAGTTATGGGAAAAATACTGGAGATACGTGCCACTCCTGGGTACGCAACTGTTTTGCAGTCTGCTAAACAACAGATTTACCCAGGGTATGAAATTCATACTGCTTGACATCCAAAGAGTCCTTTCACATTTTCAATATTAATCTCAAAAAATTGAGCACATATAGAAGATATTTATAAATTCAGATAAATAGTATATTTATATGCTAATTGTTAACAAACAAAAATTTTTTAAATATAAGAAAGTAATAAATATTTTGTATTTTAACATCTTGTTAATTTAATTAACTTATTTATTGGTTTATTTATTAATTTTTAATTAATCAATAAATATGAGAAGTTTATTTATTTTTTAATATTCACCAAAAAATTTAAGATACGCGAAATTATTCTGTAATTTTGTAATATATGCAAAATAATATAAATATATCCTGGCTCTTTGAATTTTGAGCAAATTATCTCCTGGGCTTTGAAATAATTTGTATCATAAAAGATATACACATAAAATTTTGAGAATGTTTATATATTCGGATAAACAATATATTTATATGTTTATGATTAATAAACAAAAAGTTATAATAATATTGAACAATTAATATTTAAAAAAGTTTGTAATATGTCAGTTGGGGAAAATTTATGATACTGTATTATAGGACGATTGTCCTGGAATCGCAATGTTACGCCCATTAAGTACTTGTTTGACCAGTACGGATGTGTTGTGCGAATTAATGGACCGTTTGTGAATGATATAGTTATGATTCATAGGTGAGATATTATAGATGAGCTTTTCATATTTTCCTGACACTTATTTATTAATCACTTTTTAGACCCGAACATATAGCTGAAGTTTTGAGACAGGAGAGCAAATCACCTATTCGAAGTGGCATTGATATTCTTCAGCACTATCGTCTCAACCATTGCAAATATCGTTCCGCTGGAGCATTCTCTTTGTAAGTATAATATAGTTTTAAATGCAATATAATGCAATTATTTTTATTTTATAGTATGACGTAATCATTAATCTATAATCTATAAATTTAATCACTTTATTTATGTGTTTGTTAATAGAAATTTTTGTTATTTATTGTTCTTACATTATGTAAGACATTTCAATAATATGACAAATTTAATAAATTATATCACTATAAATTTAATCACTTTATTTATGTGTTTGTTAATAGAAATTTTTATTTATTTTCTTACATTATGTAAGACATTTCTTACATTATGTAAGACATTTCAATAATATGACAAATTTTATAAACTATCAGGCAAGGCTCAGAATGGTTAAAAATAAAGGAAAAAATTGACCAGCCGTTGCAGGAAACTATTTCGGATTATACTGGAAAACTAAGTTCAGTGTGTGATGAATTTATCAAGAGAATTCGTAATATACGCAATCGACAAGATGAGGTTAGTTGTATATCAATAAACAAAAGTAAATAATTGGATTAATATACAACATTATTTTAGATCTACGTAATTATAACATAAAAATTTATGTAATAACTATTATTATAAACTAGATTTTAATAAGATAAAACGTTTGATTTTATGTAATAATACGCAATATGGCGTAATTTGAAAAAAAATGTTCTAATTAATTATTACTTCGACAATAGGTACCAGCAAATTTTCACCAAGAACTCACCGCATGGGGTATGGAATGCTTCTATGGGATAATGTTTGATAGTCGTCTCGGTTTCCTCGATCCTACCTCGAATTCAGCATCTGAAGTCACAAAGATTATTGATGCATTAAATACTGCTCACACATATATGAGTCGTTGCGAAACCGGATTTCAAGTGTGGAGATTCTTCGAAACTCCATTTGCGAAAAAACTTTTTACAGCTTGCGACGTTCTTGACGAGTAAGTCATGCAAAATTTAATAGTATTTCAACAAACATTATTGATCATATTTCTTTATATATTAATTGTATAATATAATAATTACATTTTATTCGACATTAATTACAAAACTTTTAGTTTTTAAATATCTTTGTTTTCAATAATTTATCTTGGTTTATTCACCTCAGATTTTTACTTCAGGATTATTGGAAAGTATATTCACCAAACGCAGAACAAATTGCAAACTTCATCGCTTTCAAAGCAAGAAAAACTCACGAATGAGAAGAGACATTCATCACTGCTCGAAAGAATGTTAATTCAGCGCATTCATCCGGATGATATTTCCACTCTCATAATGGACACGATAATTCTAGGCGTGCAGGCTGTAATATGCAATAATTTAACACAGCTATATAAATGAGAATGTGGAAATAAATTTTAAAGAGTGTCTTATTTCAGGTTATTAATTGCGAAGCGTTCTTGCTTTATTTCTTAGCAAAGAATCCTAGAGTGCAACGACGGCTGTATGATGAAATAATTTCTATTTTATCTAAAACAGGATCTGTTATGACAAAAAAAAGCTTGGACGATATGTTATATTTAAAAGCATGCATAAAGGAAAGTCTTAGGTAATTTATAAAAGTAAAATAATAGATTCATTAATTTTCTGAAGCAACTATAAATTAATACTCATAAGAAATAGCTCAAATTTCATTAACAACATAGTACTATATTTACAAGTTAATTATTATATAATATCTTTTATAAAAGATTGCGACCTGCATTTCCTTACTTGACGAGATTATTGTCCTCGCCAATATCATTACACGGATACATGATACCGAAAGGAGTAAGTTGAAGCGTTGTGTTCCAGAAATCTCAACGTGATACAATAAATAATTTTTATCTTCTAGACTTTTGTCATAATGGCGAATCAAATAACGTCACAGCGTGAGGAACATTTTGAAGATCCTGAAAAATACCGACCAGAAAGATGGTTGAATCAAAATGAACACGGTCAGGAATATACGTGTCTACCTTTCGGATATGGTGTACGATCTTGTCTAGGAAAAGATATCGCTGAAACACAAATGATGCTGATTACTGCAACAGTAAACAAATTTTAATTATGCTAGAAAGCGTAAATGATAGAAGTGATATTAAAATTCTATCTTTTTTTTACAGCTGATAAAAGAATTTATGGTCGAGTACGATTATGCTGATATTCAAAGTCGATTTTTTATGGTAAATGTACCAGATAAACCACTACGTTTTCGGTTCATAGATAGGAATTAAAAAAACAATGAAAAATATGAAACTCGGACAATCGGATAAACCTAAAAAGCAGAATAATTAATTAGATATTAAAAGATGCATTTTTGTTAAGATATATAGTATTACGTATTTCCTGTACACAAATTTGTATAAACAAGATAAAAATATGTGTATGAGTGACATATTAAGTGTATATGTTGTTTTTGTGTTAAATTTCATATGACTTTGTTTAATAGAATAAATTAAAAACTATTCTTTTAATAAAAATTAAATAAAATATATATTTGTCTCTATTGTTACGAATAAATTACAAACATAAAATATAATGAAAAAAAATTTATGTATTTGCAAGAAAATTATGCAAAAAAAAGTATTCTGCCGTACCAACATTGTGTATACCAACATTTGCAGATAATTTAGCGTCTTAATTAATCACATGACGGTCTGAAACCGACTGAGAAACTCCAAAGTCCATAAAAATATCGAGCGTCGATAAAGAAATTCTTTTAATAATTTTATTCGAGTAGATATCTCTCACTGTGTTTCCGAAATATAAATCCCAAAACATTATTTTTTCAATTTTTGAGTTTTATAATTAATATAGAAAATTATTGAATCAATTTCTCGTAGAAGAAATTTATTATATGTACTAATTTATACATATTTTACAATTTTTTTCTTATATTTTATGCTTTTTTCACTGTTTCAATAAATATCATTGTATTGATAATTAATTAATCATTATAATATACTGATACACAATAATTATTATCATTCAGATCTAATATATTATAAATATTTAATTAATCTATTTAATATTTATATACTATTTTAATACTCATAATTATACTTATTATTATTATTAATTAATAATTAATAATATAATAATTATTAATTAATCGTTAATGTACCGATTTAATCATTATATAATCACACTTAAATAAATAATATTATTTAAGATTTAATAAAATTATTAATTCATTAATATACTGATTTATCAGTGTTGTTATCACATTATCGTACTGATCTAATACTTATCATAGCAATCGATATTCTAGCGACTTATATACGAAAGTGCAAAAATTCACCTTTTAGATTGTGATTTGATTTTAATGATTGTGGAAAATTATTAACATTTTTGGAGCTCCTCGTAGAAACAGAACGATTCTTCTTCACTTTTCTTTCATATTGTTCTTTTCCATATGGTCTATTCTCTTTATTATCAGTTTCAAGACGTTTATTCTCTCTGTTATCAGTTTCAAGCCGTATATCTTGAAACATAGCGTTCAGATTATCTTTATTTAATTCTCTTTTTGATTCGATCCTTTGTTTCGAACAACTTTTATGATTAAATACTTTTATCACACAATCTGTAGCTTTTTGAGCATGATTTCTGTTCTCTATTTCTTCCACTTCTTTGTCTGTAAATCGAAGTTTTTTGGGCTTTAATCCTTCTTTTGGAAAGTGCTTTTTAAATTTTATAGGCGCATTTGGTGGTACAGGAGTCGCTTTCTTCACCATCGGAGAAGTTATAAATAACAATTTGGGGTTGCAACGAGATTGAAGTAAATTATTGCCCTCTATTTTATTCTAAAAAGTGAAAAAAAAAACCTATTATGTTAATCTTTAATTTAATAAGTTATTAATATCAGTTTTGAAATGAGAAATACATTGCAGTCAAATATAATTAAATATTTTTACTAATAAATTTATTGATAAACTTAAATTAGATTTATTTATTAATTTAGTCAAGCTTTGTTATAATTTACCTGTGGAGTGCGATTTATTTCTACAAAGATATCATATTGGTCACGATCACGATCTTGGAATAATCGCTGTGGCGTCTGTTTTGCATAATCCATGCGCATCAAACGATTGTGACTGACTTGATTTTCTTTTGCCATTTTCCACAAAATTTCAGAACTTTTAGCAATTACGTTAATCAATTCGGGATTTTATAATCTTTTAGAGAAATTTGGAGACACAATGACAAGACTTAGCATATGAAGGAGACGCTTTCGCTATGATAAATGGACGTGAACACGGTCACGCTTTCATTTCAGTTAACTTTACGACAAATTTGATCGTTTTACAGGCTTATCTTAAAGTTGTCTTATAGCGATATCGACTGAACGGATTTGAATCGATCTGACCTAAGCGATTAATCGCACGTTTTTATTTAAAAAAAATAGAATTATAACTAACAAAGCTTGCAAAGGTGTAACTTTTAGAAAAATTATTTGTATAATAGCTTTCTTGTCTTAAAAACTTTTTGTCTATTAGGATAAAATATTAAATAAATGTAGATTTATATTAATTAGAATTATAGTATATAATTATAAATTATGGTAAATATTTGGAACACATTACCAATACCATTTAGAATACATTAAAATTATTATGACCACAAATATCCAAAATTGCAGCGATGATATTTTTCGATTTGTTCATACATTGTATATCGGCTCGTCGCATAACAAAAAGCCTCTATATCCGTTAACGTCACACAATGACCCGACGCTGCCCCAAGCGCGAGTCCGGACAGCAACATTAACATCGTGATTTACAATTACTTATATGTGTGCATAATCGGTTAGTTTCCGCTCATTGATTCTCTTTTCACGTATCCATTTCATACGTTTTAATAAATTTGCTGTTAAGGTCATTTTAAAACAATCTATAGGGTGTAAGTAAACTATCGAGTGCATTTCGAAAAAATTCGATTTTATGAAACATTTTTGTACAATAATTAAAAAATGCATATTGTTGAACGTTTTCAAAATATTATTCGAGATAGAAGAAATCTTTCTCTTAAAGATTTAAGGAGATCAATTTAAAAAATCCTTCTCTTCCAAGTAAATTTCCGGAAAATGGAAAGTACAATAATCTAAGGGCCACACCCGTTTATAAAGGGAATGGCCAGACAATGTAAAAAGGCCTACACTTTGACTATTTTCCTCTCTTTTTGCCATCGATCCTCTGTCTATGGCACTCCTATATTTGTCATCGACCTACGCCCTCATCGCGTTATACGCGATTACACACTAATATAACTATAATTATTCTCTGAAAGTCGAAATTATTATAAGTTCATACAATCTAAAATAAATTTATGCAAAAATTTCTCAAGCTGATATGTATTAAAAATATATGATTCCTGTTTTGCTTCTCTTGATTTTTATTAATCATATAAAGATGCTTAAAGATGTTTAAGGTTTGCATTAGGAAATCCAAAAGAGATTTAATTACGTTATAATAATAATATTACAACCTTACACATGTTCCAAAAACAAGAACAGATCTTTGTCTCAAAGATTTTTAATAATTTTGAAAATTTATAACATTACTCAAAGGCTTCCGCAATTTATAATAATAAAATTGCTTTTTTTTATATGTTGCTTAAAGAGTGAAAATTAATGGTACGTCTTCGGCCGACGCTGATCTCGAACGAATGCGTTTATAAAGCGTAATAAAAAAGAGGAGCTAATTATAGTCACGGCGTAAGCTGGAGAATCGAGAGCAAAAGAGAACACGACGACAAAATAAAAATAAAAAATATAAAGAAGAAGAAGCAACGAAAAGAAAAAAATTGTTTTCTGGAGTGTCGTGTCCCATCGAGGGCCGTTAAAACGCGCCTGTGAACGTCGTATAAGATCCCTTGAAGAATATACATAAGAACATACGTTGAACATTAATTTAGAATTAAACATAACAATATTACAAAACAAATTCTCTTTATAATAGATACATATTAATGTTTAAAAGTTTCTAAAGTTTTTGATATAATAAATCTTAAATAATAAATCTTAAAATTCTAAAATATATCAAGATTCTCTTTTTTCACATATGATCAATATAAATATCTATGCAGAAACGTACAAGCGTACAAATATATATGTAGAATATAAACGTCTTCATATCAAAATTTATATTAATGTGTTCTAAAAACTAATAAAAAAATTTTGTGACAATAATTTAAGAATTCCGATCATTATTAAGAAGTAATATGCGTGATTTATCTGAATGCTAATTTCAACGAATGTTACTGTTCGTTGTTTTTTCAACAATGAAAGAATTACAACATTCGGTACATAAAATCTCATAATTATATACTCGCCTAGCAACACGATTTAAAGCCGAAGTCACGGGAGTGAATGATAACGAGAACCTATATGTATTCGAGCGAGCGTATCTCGGGTTATCTGTTTTATTTTTTTTTTTTTTTTTCCAGTGACAGAGTAGTAAGAATCAAGCGAACGCGAAGTGTTATGTTAACTATGCGAGAGATCAATGTGACTGGACCATAGGTCACCGGGCAAGAGATAGATTCGAGACGATCTGCGTTTAATCGAATTGGTCGTCTTTCAAATACCGCCCATTCGAAATAATGTGCGCCAATTTTTATAGATTTATATAAAAATGATTATAAATGTAAGTAAAAATATCTAATATCATCAGCGTATAACAAAATTAAAACAAAATTAAAAATTATAATAATGTCTATTCAATAAAAATCGTGTATGCACGTATACGTGCATGTAAGCACACGTATTAGAAAAGAATTATCGGTGAAGGAAAGATTGGAAACAAGATTTATAATGCCCTTTTATTTACACGTTACTTTAAAAATTAAAAATTGAAGACACAAAATAATACGATAAAAGAACATAAAAAGCAATCTGCATTTTATATAATGATGTATATCTATCATTCTCTTTCTGCGCTTCGAATTTATTTTGTCGTACCGTTATCAGCGAAGCCTCTGGCCCTATTTCGTAAGAAGAACGAACGAACGATGAATGCGACGTTCCGATAACATTTTTTGGATTTAGGTCACAGGACAACATTACAGGGTCATCGAAGTCGCGGCAATGATAAGATTATTGACGTTGAACGGTTATAAGTGCATCGGTTATGTAAAACGATATGACCAAAATGAAATGAATTCTTGGACAACAAAATAATATATTAATATAACGATGATCAGGCCTATCAAAAATTCACGTGAAGACTGTATTTAAAAAATGTAAGATCTATATAAAGTTTATCTTTCATTTAGTTTTGCTTCTTTTTTTTTATTTTAATTTATTTTTTGTCGTATTTTATTTAGTTTTATTGCTTATTGTAATTTATTATTTTATTCTATGTATGCCTCTTATTGTACTTTTTATTTTACTTTTTATTTCGCTCTCAATTGTTGTCTACTCGCTTGTTTAGTGATGTGCCCAAGTATATATGCGCAAAAATATATTTTATTCAAATCAGATAGGACGCTCGTACTTTGTAAGTTAATCGAAATCATGCGAGTTATGTGTGCACGATGACATGCAAATACAATCATTGCCCCAACGTGACCGACTGGGTTATTATCATCCGCACCAATTACATCAAGTAATGCTAAGGTCGCTCTCTCCCTTACTGGTTGCTAACTTGCCAATGTTTTAATATTGAAACCTATTTTTATAATTTATTCGTCACCATTAAAATGTGCTGTGAATAAAAGAATTGTTTAAAATGGAAAATATAAAAACTAGAAAGTAATATCAAACAGATGACAAGATATTTACTTGACATATTTATTTGAATATTTCATTTAAAAGAGATATTTACTATTAATTTAATAATTTATGTGATATAATTAAATATTAATAAATGCATATTAAAAATTAGTAAAATAAAATAAGTGATAATAAAATACCCAAATTAAAATACCCATAATTAAGAGCGCCGCCAGCGATTAAGTTCCAAACTAAAGAAATACGGGTTTTCAGTATTAGATTTTATCTTCTTCACTAATATTTCCAGTTCTGTGCATACATCCGTGACCAGCATTCAATATTTCTTTACGCATTCTTGCGCACTTCCCCACTACGCGACATAATGCAAGCAATGCGTAGTGGGAGAGTTTGGTAACAGCACGTTAGTAGGGATAAGTTGCGACGGCGCGCGGCGCGCTGATGAGGGATATGCGGTATTGAGGAAGGGGGGAGGGGGGTCGGTGTTGCCAGCCGAGCGACACGCAGTATGGCCGTTTAGTTTGCTTCGATCGGTGTGTGGCTGTCGATGGACTGATTGTGTGCGAATAGTTTCTCACTTTAACTTCTATTTTCTCGCGTCTTCATTTACAATGTAGCGTCAAATTAAAAATAATAGAGAGAGAACAAATTCGAGTGTTTTGCTTGCCGAAAAGTCGATTTTCGAGACGATCGAAGAAACGATCTTCGTTATTTTTATCTTTAATATTCAAGTTTAAACTGACCGTGTCGAGTGCCAAAACTTTTGCCTCTCCTCTTCTTTCCTCGCATCCTGCTGCTTCTGCCTTCTCGTTTTTCCCTCCTCTCTTCCTCCTCGCCGTCTTTCCACCTCCTCGTTGTGAACCATACACTTCCGGCTGACAGCGCGCTTTTTGGGCTTGCGCATACGACTCACGCGATGGACATCGTGTCCCTTCTCTCTCCTTATTCTTCCCCCTCCCATGGACGTAACTTTCTCGATGAACCGCAAATCTCCCCGACAAGCGAAGAGGGTGGAGTCCGCCGCGGACGTTTCATATGGGATTGCAAGCGTTTTACGATACGTGAAGACGACAACGGCGACGGCGAAACACGTATCCGGATGTGCCAGATCCTACGTACCGAAGAATAGGCGCCATGTCGTCGTCCTCTTCCTCGAGCAGCAGATTGATCGACCGTTTTCAGCGGCAGAATGTGCGCGCAGTTAGCTGGTAAACACCTCGTCATTAGGTAAGTGAAGGTCGAGCTGACTCGAGAGATCGAGACAGCGGCTTGGCCCGAGTGATTTTCCTTAAATGTCGGCGACGAAGATTATTTCCTACTCGGAGGCTTAAAATGTTCCGTACTTCACACATTTTCTATCATTAACTTTCACAATTTAAGATTTAAAACCCTGTTAATTATTTTCTTTTCTTGATAATTGAGTTTTCCGAATGATTTTTCTCAATTGTAATCGGCCGCGGTAATTCACTCGTCAGAAAAATATTTCCAGTCGCAGTGTATAACAAAAGCGCGTTGCTTCTTGCACTTTTTATATATTAATTCTTTGATATGATGAATTCGTATTTTTTATTTCAATAATGTAAGTATAAGATACTTTCTTAATTAATTTTTCTGACTAATGTTCTTTAAATCGAGAAAATATGTTCTATTGACGTAAAGAGCTTGGGTGTTTTCCATGGTTTTTTTCTTGATTCTTCATAATCAGAAGTTTTGAGTTTTATATTTTATTCTTGCTAACTTTTTTTAATTTTCTGGATTCACTAAAAATATCTATTAACTATGAAAATATTTTCTAGCCGATGTAAAAATATTTTCTATATCTTTATGTCCTTTTTGTGATAAAATTTTTAACTTTTGCTGTTTTTCTTTAGTAATAATATTTCATGGAATATTTTACTGCGGGAATAATTCACGTCTCACGAAAAGATTCTCTATCTGTTATTAAATGAAAATAATTTTTGTTCTTTTTAACAAATTTTTTTTGTAATTTACAAAAATAATAAAAAGTAGTTTTTTTTTATTAAATCGTATTTTATGCAGAATTTATATTTTCAGATGTGCGCAAATAAACTAATCTTAGATGAGGAAATCTAGATTGGTAAATCTTGATATTTAAAATTCAATATTTTTACCATTAAAATTCATAACTTATGTTAACTGTTATACAGAATATAAAAATAATTTTACATGATTGCAGGGTTTAAAAATACTCCACATTTTTTTTGTCTTAAAATAAATTTCTTACGTTTGAAAATAAATATAGTTGTGTTAATTTTAAAATGTATTTTTTTGTTACTTTATAATGCTGCAGATTTTTTATACTTTCGAATTATTAAACATGAATTATTTTTTACTTGCACAATTTTTTATTTTCTTCGTGTACTGCGTTATTAGATGATGTCTAAAGAAAAGTTAACACATCTGAAAGTTGTTATTTTAAAATATTAGTTTCATTGAAAATAAGTCAGAGATAAAATATAATTTATCTTTAGATATATGCTTCAATTGAGAAAATATAATAATCAAGAAGAGCTAAAATTATTACAGGCTTCTTTATAAAATTATGATTTGTAAGTAATTTAAAATTTATTAATTTTTTTGGTACTTGTATAACTTAAATAATTTAAAAGTATATTTTTTTACTAATTGCAATAGATATAAAAAATTCCATACATATCATGTTAATTATAACTATTAATTATTTATTTATTTTGTGTTATAATGTAGCATAATTGGTTTTTTTTTTTTTAAGAAAAAGAAACATAAAAATAGGAAATATAACAAGTCACTCACAAAATCATCATTAAAGTATTTTTAGCGTAATATCATTTAGAATGTATTGTATCTAAATTACATTTATTGCATTACAGCTATCATAATATCTTTATTAATGCTATTATAATGTAGCGGATTTGTGGATTTTTTTGCACAGAATATTGAAATGCAAAATGTAACATAAACTTTGAGCAATTGGTGTATTAGAGCTTAATATTCATCCAGATTAACTTTATTTATTTATTCATCCTGTTATATTTTGTAATGTTGTATATTTGTTTTTTATAATGTGAGCATGTCAAGTAGGTATACGTATAGGTGACATAAAAAAATTTAATATTTTTAGCACGAAGTCGGTTCAAAGAATATCCCACTCAGTTACGTAATCATAAGATAACGCGGTTGACACGTGGTTTTAACATGGTTCGTAAAGGAAATCAAAGATAGATATTAGACTACGCCAAATAAACGAAAAAAGTTCATATTTAAGGTCATATTTAGTTTATATTACTTCATATTGAATTAAAATTAATTATGCACAAAGCACTTTTAAAAATTTGTTTCGTATCGTTTATGTATTTATTTTGTGTGTATTATAAAATTTAGAATATCGCTACACACACAAGTGAAAATTTTAACAACAAATTGTGAACTATGAAGCAGACGTTATAATAAAAATTAAATTGTCTTATTATAATTTGAACAATAATCTAACATTGATATAAATTTTTTAAATGTAATGTCTGCAATTCATAAACCTTTGAGCATGATTTTCACTCATTTTTTATTAATATTAATGTATCTATTAAAATAAAAAAATTTGAAATAGAAGAAAATGCGGGGAGTATTTGATAAACATGTAACACTTTGTAACCTCAGCATTGGGTAAATTTTTCCCGGACAAACGGCACTCCCAGTAATAGTAGCGTGGTATTTAATTAAATTAACCATGCTATAGCAGTTCCCTAAGGTCATTCCCGTGTTATATCATATATATCTTGTTGCATCATTCTGAGTTGTTACTCTGTTAGCATTTCTATTATATCGCGATTATATATTATTCACGATTTTCATTGCAATCAGAAAAAAACTTAAAAATGATATAAAATTTGATATTAATAATTAAAATTATGCTATTAATTAATAAAACTAATTTACTATCATTAATCAAAAACATTTCAACGAAATAACATTTTTCAAATTTTCAGACTTAATCAAATAAATTTTTTTGGGACGATAGTAACAAATTTTGTCTGTAATTTTGTAATAAAGAGGAAACTCACATTATATTCCTATTTGTTTCTTTTTAGCTTTTACCTACTTTTATTTGTTGAAATATTTGTGGTAATATTTAATAATAATAGATGATTATAATATTATTGGATTATATTATATATAGGTATTTCGTTTATTTCAAATAGACTTTAAATTTTACTATACTTTCGCTATATTGGCGTCATCCTTATTTACGAACTGGAATACAATCCTAGAAAGAAGTCATCCCCCTCCTTTCCTAAGTCTCGCCGAAATCGTTGAATGATTCACCTTTCGATGTACAAATCGTACTAGCATAATTTTCCTCTTTTAAAATGTAACATGGATATACAATTACTGATTTTTTCCTATAAAAATATTTTTCACAAACCGACTTACTAAAAATGACTGGAAAGAAAAGGTTCCATAAATACATATGCGCGCACATGCATACATAGGATGTTCCACTTAAATTGATTCCCTCTAATAACTTCCAGGCTTAATAATATTGAAAAATGTTTCATACAAAAAATGCACGATTTCGAGAAGGACATAATCGAACAATAGGTTTCTTTCTATACAATAAAATATAAATATACTTACATGATGTATGTAGTAAATAATCTTATTCAAATACAAGTAACGAACTATGATACACTACATATCCTTGGATGGAGGATCGGATGATTCGTTCGTTTTGAAACTGTTGAACGTGTCGACTCGAAAACATCGCCACGTATTGCACATCCACATGGATAGTCTGGCGCCAGCAGGTGCGGTTAAATATAGCTTCTACAACGGTATTCTTTGCTTACTGGGTTCCCCTCTCTTCTCTCTCCCTTTCTCTCTCTCTCTCTCTCTCACTCTCTCCCTCTCTCTTTCTCCTCTCTCATACTCTTTCTTTTTCTGCCAGAAAAAAATGCATTAATATAATATAATTAAGATATTTGTATTAAAACATTCTGGTGGTAACATTTTTGTTTGAAAAAAACTCGAATAATTTACTTAATGATGCGTTTCTATATGATCACACCGGTCCAACAGATAATAACATTCATACTATTTTATTTAAGATTGACACTAACAATTCGCATACTGTAACATACTGCAGGTATGAACCTATAGCTGTAAGTCCGTCACTTCATTTGCGTATCTTAATGCATGTCATGATACTTCATTTGCATCTATACAAACATGAAACCTCAACTATGTGTGTCGCATCTTATAATAACTTGACATTTCAATTCAATATTCATCTTATTTCTCGCGTGTTTGCGCAATAAAAAATCTTGCAATATGTACGCGCGATGCGAGTGAATTTAATTACCGCATTGTGTACAAGGTGTTTTGAAAACAATTATGCTCTGCTGTCGGAAATGCTATATACTCCGATAAAGTGCGATACGATTTTGTATTTAATTTCAGTACAGTATCAAAAGAAATAAAAGATTATGCATACAAAGCTTGAAAAAATTTTATTTATTAATTTGCAACTAATCGAATAAGAATTTTAAAATAAGATATATCCAATAGTTCCCTCGAAATAAATTTATACTACAATTACTGATATATTGATACAGATTGATTTCAGCTTGTACAGGTGTTTCTTGATAGCTTCTTCAACACATATCTCATTGAATACGAAATGAGTAATGAAGTATCAATACATGTTAGTATATTTACGTTACTATAGCTCGGTGCTTCAAATCCATCGACTGAAAACTTCCAGTCTTTTTTTTTAATACAAACAATTATAAATGTTAAAAAAAAAAAGAACAAATTTACTGGGCTATGTACGATCGCATTTAAAGTAAAAAGAAATTTAAAAAATCTACTAAAACTATTAAGACGTGTCCTACAACTTTTGTCTAAAATATATTTTTTTTTTTTGAAAAATATATTGCTAATTTGTAAAAGTGGGATATCTTGTATAACGTATACGTTTTATTTATATACATCCTATTTTATGATAATATATATCTCGTTATCTAATCTGAAGTTATTTCTCTCTGTTTAGGCACATCATGGAGTCCAAAAGAGGATGTCAAGATAATAACACGACTCTTATACCATAGAAAAGCAAATAACAAGAACACAGAAGAAATGTAGATCTCTTCTTCTTAACTATATAATTGCCTGTAATTTATTTCAATCCTCTTACTTTTTCTCTTTTTATAGTTTATGATGACAAATTTGTTGGACCATTTACATTCTTTTCTTCCTCTTCTTATCTTCAAAGTTTAAATATATCAAAAACCAAATATTAAAACTGTATGTAGTTTTTATGCGTAATTATACATATATATATATAGTCTTGATAGCACAAATCGTTCTCTACGTAGTTACAAGATAGCCGCCGGACGGAGTATCTGTTCACATCTTACCGGGCAGCATTGGATTAAAATTGATACTTCTAATACTGTCAGGTAAAGATGTCGTCAGGATTCCAAAGACAACGATTAACACAAAGAAGACTCATTATTGCATGGAGCCAGCAAATTGGAAGCTTTCGAACTTGGAATATTTTTCGATTTCCTTTTATTATATTTATATTATATCTGACTTATACTTTTCTCAATATCTTTTGTTCTTTCAAAAAATACAGTTAATTTATGTTAAAATAATAAAGGATAAATTATAAAAAACAATCTTGATAAATAATTTATTTTATGTTATAGAAAATTATACATAAATATATATTCTCTGTTGTACAACATATCACACAATTATTACGTATATGTGTGCTGTTGAAAATTTATATATAATTTTATAACAATATATTTTCTTCAACGTATTAAATAAATAAAGTAAGTATTAAATAATATAAGTAATTAAATAAATTATTTAACTATTTAGAAAATGTTATGAGTTATGAACGATGCTTCTTTCTCTTAAAGCAAAAAAATTGTCAAAATCTGAAAATTTACTTTTAGCAAACAAAAATAGCATCATCAATTAATGTTTATAATTGTTTTATAATTAATAAAGTTTATAATTAATAAAGTTAACGAATAAGAAAAATGCGTAAAAAAAACGAAAAATAGAAAAAAGTAACAGATCAAAAAATTGCGAGTTTTATTACGAAGACAACTCTATTTGTTTTCGTCTGAAATATCTGATATGATAATTATAGTCATCAGAATCTATTGTCCACATCAACATCATATATATTGTCAATATGGTAGCCAATAATAATCGATCCATACTGTAAGGAAAATATGTTCATTAAATTTTGTAAAGTTCAATTAGTTGAAGTAACACTGTACATTTTCAAGTATAAGCAAAAAATTTATGACATTTAAGTATTTTTTATTTATCTTTATATATTTTAAATATTATATCTATTTAAAATATACATTAAATGTATTATCTTCTAAAGAATAATACACATATGACTTGTTTTGTTATAAAAATAATCACTAACATAAAGAATGAGAATAAAGTTTATAAAATCTTACCTCATAAAAGGATAGATCCACAAAATAATAAGAAATCCAGTAAGACTGGGATGCCTCATATGTTGCATGTATCTGCACAGCTCGTTAGACTTTGCATCTAATGGACTACTTCTTGCAGATACCTTATACCATATCTGCTTGAGTCCACAGAGCTCTGCAATGTCCATCATAATGCATCCACTATAAATAATACTCCAACCAAATACATGGAAGCCAGAGAATAACATCCAGATTATATCATTAGAAGTCTCAATCTTCCAAAGCATCATAGTTGGTGTTTGCTGCCACTTATTGATCAAAAGATGAAGGGTAACAGAACTGCAGGCATTGTAAATACTCCTGTTGAGATGCTCGACATCTAGTTTCAAAAAGATATGCTTGACGAAATCATTCGTCATAATGGAGTGTTGAAAGATAAAGATTGTGAGAAGTGACATATCTATCACAATGGACCACAGGACGGATTCTGTAGCATTATTATCTGGAAACAAGTGAAATTGGTTAAATACACTTATAGGAATTACTAATGACAAAAAATCAATAAAAAAATTTCTGAACGTCTTAAAATTTTAATAAATATAGAAAAGATTATGTTTCTTCAAAATTGTATGATTTAATGAGATCATACCTGATGCTATATTAAGATATTTATTATTGTCATGATTTGATAAAAAATAGGTTAAGCTACATAAAGTATAACAGGTGTACACAAAACTAGAGACACACACGATTAAACTTAATATGTTTGACATCATTTTCAAAAGACGAATAATATAAATAAACTATAGATTTACATATGATCGTGTTAAAAAGCCTAGAAGTATTGACCATAAACACTGTGCTCAATATATATTAGAATGCGCCTTCCCATATAAACTTAGCATAAATGCGCGAGATGACAAAGTGGGCATTTGGATCAGTGACGCCAGATTTCAGACGCAAGCAGCATGCTCTAGCTACGTATATCATGTGAACTTTGGCTAGCTGCGGAGCTAGAAAAGAGTAGACATACTATTTCTGTCTCCTTTTTTAACGGCCAGAAACACTCCATTTTAATCGGGATTTTGTAAAATTGTTAACAGGAATACATGATGATATAGGAGCCATTCATAAAAATGCAACATTACGAATGCATTAATAGTAACTGTACCGACGACACTAGTCACTCCGAGTGAGCTCCTATATTATTATGTGCTCCTGTTAACATATTTTTAAAATCCCGGATAAAATGGAGCTTTTTGGATCGTTCCAACAGATAATCGTAATCTTTCTACATGCTTATTTTCGCTTTTGGGCTACTTTTGACAGTGTTAGGATGCTCGTAAAATACTTACATAATTAAAACGTCTCTTTTAAAATTTTGGAAAGTTTTTTATTGCAAAATTCAGAATGCCAATCGTTAAAACAATTACGATGTCTTTTTAGGACATTTTAGGACGTCTTAAAGATGTCCTTTTTAGGACGCTTTTAGAACTATTTTGTTGTAGATGAGGGAATAATCAGGTTCTCTGGAATTGGTATTGAAGACGCGATTGGACGTTCTTTGGCTGTTGGACGTGAAATTTATTTCTGAATATTTTTAAATATTCTTTTACATTCTTTTTATTGTAAAAACTTTTTTGTGCGTGTAAATATTTCCTCTTAGTCTTTAGAGCTTATAGTTTTATTTTAAATGTTTCAAAAAATAAAAAAAATCAAAAGTTAGTCTGTTCTTAATGCTGTATAGTTATAAATAAAAAGTTCAAGCAAAAAATTTCACATTTTTGCAATTGAAAAAGTTGCACAATCGCTCATATCTTGTATCTATAATTTATATCTACTGATTTCTATTATTTTTGGATCTATTATTGATCAAACTCGATATAAGATGATGATATAAACAGGTCCAAAGTCCTTCTTGATAATTATTCGCCAGTCATCGTTTGATTGCTTCAAGTTCATGTCAGCTGAACTTCGGTTCGGTGTTGTTTAATTGTTGGAGTCACGTTTCTAAAGTCAGAACGGATCAGACTTCGTGGCCACTTGTGATAACCTATTGTTATAAATAATATAATAATCGTCGATATTTATTTTTGTAGAGGAAAAATTGAAGCTTGAAAATGTTGAAGGTATAATTATTCTATTTTTTTTAAAACAAATTTGAATTCTTTTATGTGTGATTATGCAATATTTTATTATTATCTATTATATAGAATTATATTGTTTAAAGTGATAATATCAATGGTGTTCTTTTCATTATGACGTGGATTTGATTTGAGGTTAAATATAACCTCAAAGCATATTATGCATCTTTTTGCATATTATGAATAGACTAATTATATATTGATTGAAAGTAAAAAAGAAACAAAAGAAATAAGAAAATATTTCTTTGTAATGAACTAAATATGTTTGTTTTAAACTACTGTCTACGAATTTAAATACATATTTTAAAAAATTCTGTTATGAAATCTTCTTTATCTATGAAATATTTACAATTTTGCCAGTGTTTTTTGCATGTGTTTTTAACACATGATCCATGCATTCTCAAAATATGTTCATAAGTTGATGAATACTATTTCACAGGGTATTACAGCTTTGGTAACTGGTGGTGCATCTGGGCTGGGCCGTGGTACTGTAGAAAGATTTGTCAGGCAAGGTGCAAAAGTAGTTATTGCTGATTTGCCTATTTCAAAAGGAAAATCTGTGGCAGATGAGTTAGGAGAAGCCAATGCAGTATTTGCACCTGTAGATGTACGTATAACATTTGATCTTTAAGAGTTCCATAAGCTTATCAATAGTTATTAGTCCATTAACTTATCAATAAAGAAGCATTATATTCTTTAAATGTATTGTATTAAGTTTTTTACTTTGCATACTTTTTTTTAACTAAACTTTAAGTTTTAGAAAATTTAATTGATTTAAAGATTAATAATTGTTGTCTGACTCTGTATTGTTATATATGCACATAACTTTTTATGATTAAAATTAAAAATAATATTCTAAATATCTTAAAATAGTAATATAGTATAATAATTAAATTTTTAATCTTTTTTTCTGCAAAGGTGACTTCGGAATCTGATATCAAAGCTGCTTTAGACCTTACAAAACAAAAATTCGGCAAGCTCGATGTTCTTGTTAATGCTGCTGGCATTGCCATTGCTTTCAAAACATACAATAGCAATAAAAAACTCCCTCACAAACTAGAGGACTTTTCTAGAATTATCCAAGTTAATACTATCGGAACCTTCAATGCTATTCGTCTCTCTGCCGGACTGATGTTTGAAAACACTCCTAATCAAGATGGTCAGAGAGGCGTGATTATTAATACTGCGAGTGTCGCTGCTTTTGATGGGCAAATCGGTCAGGCTGCTTATTCTGCTTCGAAAGGAGCAGTCGTAGGTATTGTAATTTTTTGTTTTTTATTTTTTATATTATTTATATATATATATATATATATCTTCATGTATCTTTTAATTTGTTATATTCATAGTTTACTTAACTTTTATATGTTATTATGTAGGAATGACATTGCCGATTGCTCGCGATCTTTCCAAAGATGGAATTCGTGTTGTAACAATTGCCCCTGGACTGTTTAACACTCCGTTATTAATGGATCTGCCGGAAAAAGTGCGTTCTTTTCTGGCAAAAAGCATTCCATTTCCTCAAAGATTGGGCAGTCCTGATGAATATGCAATGTTAGTACAGCAAATCGTGGAAAACCCATTATTGAATGGAGAGACGATCAGATTGGATGGTGCTCTAAGAATGCAGGCTTGAAGAGCTATCAGTCTTTTACAGTCTTCCATTAACAGAATTGTTAACAACTTTATTTTCAATTTCGTTTTTATTTTCTTTTATATTACATTACGTTTATAGATTTTAATCTTAAACACTTTGATATTATCCTTGGATTTTGAAACCTTTTTATGTCAATTTTTTTCTCTTTTGTGCGTGCAGAAAACCGGGTATATACTTATCTCTTATGGTTATGAACCCATATGAATTCATGGATATAGAAACTATTTTGGAATAGCATATTTTTTTATATTAATAAAATTTTTATATTAATAAAAATACTGTCTTAATAAAGAGACTAAAATAATTCTAAAAAAGTGAAATAAAATTGTCCTTTATATGTATGTATATTATAATTTTTAAGTGGTAATTTAATCCCTAACTTAAAATTTTAACTTAATTTATTTTTGCCAGAGATATTCTATAAAATATTTTTAAGAAAAATATATATTAAATTTATATTTTTTAACTTTTTTAAAATTTTACTCTGTATGTCTATCTTTAGCTTCGTGATTCTTTGCATCGTGCGATTCTTTGGGAATGAATGAGTTGGGTGAAAACGAAAGATGAGAAAAATTGAATGAAATAATTCTTTTTACATGCAACATCAGTGTAATTTCCTTCAAATGTACACCACCGTCTGTGCGCAGATAGTTACACCCTTTGTAGTACACGGGTATTGACAATTCTCTATTTACCCCATTTCGCTGTACATCATTTTCTACGAAAGAAAATCCCTTTATCTTCTTTATCAATTTTTACTAAACCGAAACTCTTCGAGATTCTTTAATCAACCCATTAGATTGTATCGCCCTAAAACAGGACAGTTGAATCCTTTTTTATCAATGGGTTAACATAGAAATCTCGATGACTTTATGTAGCTTGATGATCTTGTATTAACGTACAATCTTTGCGAATGTCCTGATTTTAAATATCTCTTATCAATCCCTTATCAACATTAGGCTATTTCTTATTCAGTGTTGTCATTTTTTTTTTTTTTAAGTTGCCAAATTATTATCTCTTCTTTCAGGTACGTTAATAGATCAATGTAGCGATCTAGATAGTTTTATAAATCAATCCCTTTTTTACTAATTGATTTGTTGTGATTACAATATGTAACCTACACATTTTCAACGTGTTTATGATTCAATTAAATTTTAATTCTTCAGAATCTAATAAATGTCTGGCGCATGAGTTTTATATCTATGGCTAGAATCTAGACTGTTCAACAGCACTTGATCTATTAACGTCCATTACACTGCTCTACGTGAGTCCATGAGAAAGAAGAGTAATTTTTCAGTTTTTTATGTGCTAAATCCGAATTCAGCCTCAAAAAATATGCTTTATCAGAGTTTTGAATGAACAAAAGAAAAATATGCAAAAATAGCAATTTTTACATTTTTTTTTATTTTTTTTTATTTTAAAATACTAATTTTTTTTAATGGATTTTATTTTTTTTAACCCGATATATTTAGACAGTGCGAAACATAACGACATTCACATTGCATGAAATCAAACACTGATTGATGCATAGAAATTATTTCATTTTATTCAAATTATCTCTTCAGCATCGATATAGCATTGAGCATTGCGATCAACTAATAGCGTAGATAAACTCCTGGAGGTCTACTTTCGGAATTGCCTAAAAAATCTTTATCACGACTGAATATCATCGTAGCAAGCTTCTTAATTAAAAAGAATCATATAAAATCGTAATTCTTTTTATATCATTTTCCTTTGATTTTCTAAAAATTCTGATGTAACATGCATTTATTGAGATCCAAATTTGAATTCAGCGCACAAAAATTACTCTATTTTCTCAAAACAACAAAGAAAATGTCTAGTTTTGCAGGCCAGTATTATCCTAAAAATAGTTCAGTTACAATCCCAAACATCTTCACCATTCGATCACCATAAGAACCTATCAGTATTAGAAGAGTCTTATTAATCCTTCTTGCTCAGCACTTGAGGCGATCGCCAGAAGTCTAGCAGATGTCGGAAGTTATCGGGATGGCCATCAGGCAAGGTAATCCTGTCCTTGTGGGCCTCAGGGCCCAGTCAGCCCTAGGCATTCGATTCCTTCAACGACTGCAATTTCTCCAGCTGATCCGGCTGTAGCTCGTCCGGAATGCTGGCCCTGCCGCCTACTAACATTTTACTCCCTGGCGCTATTTCTTCCTCTTCCTCCATGACGTCTGCGATCTCTTGCGTCACTTCCACGACCGTTCCTCTAGATTGAGAAGTTTCGTTGCTGGGGCCAGAAGCGGTCGATTCCGCTTCACTTCCGGAACTACTGCTAATCGGGAACGGCGCCGAATCAGCCGGAAGTTCGTCGATTAAAGATTTTTCCTCAGTCTCTTCTCCCTCTTTTTCATCTAGAATGACAGTTGCCTCTTCTTCTTTACACTCGCTCTCGTTCGGATCCGAAGTCATGCTTGAAAGTTCAGGATCAGCATCGGAGATTTCCGTGGATTTCGCCGGTTCTTCTGTTTCCTCCCCCGGAAACGGGTGCTCAACCTCCTCCATCGGAGTCGCGGCTGTGATAACGATTTGGGCAACGCCGAGACCGACATCGTCCGCTTCATCAGTGAGTTCAGAGTCTTCCGCCGGTTTAGCGTCTTCAGACTTTATCGCCTGCAAATTAAATGAGTTTTGTTCTTGATACAAGATAATTCCATGGCTCCACATATAAACCATGTATTTGCGTGATCTGCTCATAATTTTATGGCATACATAGTTCATATGCATAAAACCACAGAATAAAAAAAGAGGAAATATATCGTGATGAACGATTTAACACATATTGGAATCTCAAGACGAAAATTGAAAACAGTTTTATTGTTTTACATTTATGAAATCCTCTTTTTTTTCCTAGAATTTAGAATGTTGCCTAGAATTCCGAAAATTGCCTTAAAAGAAACTAAATATTTTTTTTGTTATATGTAATATTATTTATTGTTACAACTCTATTACATTCAATTTTTGCAATTCTTACAATTTTTTTTAACAAAGTCCATTAAAATCAGTGTATCAGAATGTAAACTTTAATAAATATATATTTTTTAATCTTGACCGATCGCACACTAACTTATTAAGATTATTTCTTCTGAATGTTTCAAATAATTTTCCAATGTGGAAGAAATAAAATCTTCCCTGATATGTGTTAAACGTCTCTTCTATAATTTATCACACTATCTAATTTACCTTATCGCTCGATTCATCTGATATCTCCACGACTGCGCAGCAAGTCATAGAGTTTTATAGATTAAAATGTAAGTGAATAATATTTCTGTATCTCGATTACTACGATAGCCTGTTTTTTAAGGATTTTTATTTTATTCCCGAAGCTCACCTAATATATCTGGCGCTTCCGGTTGGTCACAATCGAACTGCGAGCCATAGTGGTCCTTTTGGTCCTTCGACAGATTTATAGCAAAACCTCCATCGTCGGTCATCACTGGCTTCTCTTCTTGCGATTCTATAACAATCATACAATAATTAGAAGGAGAAAAAACATATTAAAGAATTATATACATTTTGTTTAATAAAGTTAAAAGTAATAAAGCAAGAACGCGTATCATCATATTTTGATTCCGTTGCTCTGGTCTCTCCTGACGCTCGCGATTATAAATTCCCACGAGTGGGGGAAATCGCGAATTAAGGAGTAGAATTTCAGAAATTTGAGATTTTACTTCACTTTTCAAGAAAACGGTAGATATAAAGATTACCAATACGTGTTTGCATTAATAATAATAGCCATAATTACCTTCCAATTGTGCAAGCTCATCGGCCAGCAAAAATTCTGGTATCTCTGGTGGAGTAAAGACCGGTGGCGCGGAACTCGGTGGTGTTAAATCGTCCTAAAATAGTAAAAAATGTGTTAATATCATTTCTGATATAACGATAATTAATATACTAAAATGGCAAAATTAATTAATTTGTTCTTAGTCTCTTTTAACTACTCGCATAGAAATTGTTTTTGAACAGGAAATTATCCAGTTACAAGTTAATAGCGTATACAACTGACTTATTTTATAATTTTGATTGATATAAAGGTAATTCAAAACAACCTAATGTTTTCGAAATATTCTTGAGTGATTTCTAAGACAATTTTTCAAACTTTTGTCCGAAGCTTAGTTTTCGTGAAAATAGTTAGTTACTGACGAGTCCGTAGTACAGCGAACATTTTGTAATCGGTATGTAATATAATTTAATTTGATTGATAAATCCAATATATGTGTTATTTGTGATTGATAAATATCTATACAATGTTACTAGTAAGATTTGAACTCACCTGTGGTGTTAAAGGAGCTCCGTCTGGACCGCAAGGTTCCACAACGAGAGAGGGAAATAGACCTTGCTGTCCCCTCAGCTCGCCTTCCCACCAACCATCGTCTACGTCATGCGGTTCTTTCCTAAGCACCTTGACGATGTCGCCTTCCAGAAAACTCAGTTCCTCGTCGCACGTAGCGTCATAATCGTACAGCGCAATGCAATATTGCTCCGCTTCTGGAATTTAATATACAAAATATAGACGAGTTACTAGAATTTATTATCCAACTTAATAAATAACTTGGTAACTATTAATTTTACAGGAAAATATTTTAGACAAAAATTTAATAAAAATTTTGAAGTGGCTGTATGTTGGTTATCTTGTAATTTTCTCCTAAATGGAGACTTGAAAGAATTTTGAAGATTATCTTTTTTCAATGGAATATCCTATTTTTAAAACATAGATTAAGCATATTTTATACAATTTTTAAGGGCCTACTGAAAGAGGTAAAAATTATACAGGAATCAATTCTTGACATACCTCCGATATGATTTTGTATAATGGCTTCCGAATCGATTTGCAAATTAGCGTCGGGATCAACGGCATCGTGATCATCAATAGTGTAGTCGACAGATGAAAAGGAAATTTGCTGAACCAGACCTGGGCCTTGTGAAGACAGGCCGCCAGAAGCGACTTCCGGCTCTCTCTCCACATCGAGATAATTTTGGGGCACAAAACCCTCTTCTCCGCGATAATTCCTCGCTCTTAACCATCCATCTCCATCGCCTTCGCCAACCACATCCAATTGCTCGCTTTCCACGATGGACAGCTCGTCAGGATTTTGCGCCTTGTAAGAGTAAAATTTTTATATTTGAATTTTTTGACATCTTAATTCAACATGAATACAGTAAGGCAATAAGAGCTTTAAAGATTGAAAAATCGTAATAAATAATGATCCGTGTTTTGTACATGGAGAATCAATTTGAAATGACTTCGAATATTTGTTTTTCATTCAAATATTTGTTTTTGACATATTTTACAAAATAACACTATAAAATTAATACTGTGAAATTACTTACAGTGTAAGTGTAAAGAGCGGTGCACTTGTAAATGGGTTGATTAGAAGGCATCTCCGGCATTTCATGTGTCATATCTTGATCGTCTTTTAACTCGTTCCAGTTGACAGCTGTAGGATCGTCCCAGCCTGCAGTCAACTCTTCTATTCGTTGCTTTTCCTGCTCCAGCAATGCTGAAAAGGTAACTTTTCATTATTTTTCCATCCATTTTGAAACGTATGAATACAATCATGAATAAATTAAATATAATAAATTAAAAAATAAGAATAATATTAAATGTTATACAAATATCTATAAAAATTGTTCACATACCATCAACCTCCGCACTATCATGTCTCTGCCTTTCTTCAATTTCTTCTTCCTGCTGCGATGTCTTTCCGGGCCGCTCGACAGTAGTTAAATCGCTTCCGCCGTCACCGTCGCTATCGTAAAACGAGTCCGACGATGGATGTTCCTGAAGAAAAAATTTTGTGCAATTCTTTACATATTGAAAATTAGAAAAATTGTTTGAATAATAATACAGGCAATTGCGTTAAAGAATTTTCAATAACGAGTATGAGCTGGCACAGTGACCGAGAATCAAGCCGAAAAAGTAATTGTGTATTCTGATAACTACCGCTGCACCGGATGCGTCAGTCCTGACAGAGAGGGAACTAGCTGAACGTGGCATATCCTGAACGCTGAGTGTTTCGGCCTCTTGCAGGAATTCGTCCACATTTACTGTAAATCGATAATTTTTGAAATATGAATTAATACATCAATTCTCTAGAGTTTCTTTCATTATAAATTATGAACTATTATAAAAGATAATTACAGAAAAATTTTTTTATGTTTATTAATGTAAAATATTTTTATTTAAAAAATGTAGAATATTGACAAACCTCCGCCGTTTCGAAGACATTCTATCCTTGCTTCCGCCTTGAGTTTTGCAGTCTATTTATAACAAAAAGACACATAAATTATTCATGATAAATGTATTATCAAGAAAAGATCAACAAAGGTTAAATGATTGATAAACATTTGTATACACAGAATGATAAGGAGAAGCAATTTCTACAAAAAGTACATATAACTGCATAATTTGTGTGTGCGTGTGTAAACTGTGGCTGTGTAACTTTTGGATATCGAAATAAATCATTTTTCTCTTATCTTGATTAAATAAGTACCTCGGCTCGTCGAATAGCGTGCTTTAATTCGTCCATCTTAGTATCTAAATCTGGACCATTGGGATCGTTCGGATCAGTCTTAAAACAAAAAACAAATTTGTTATCAAAATAATCTTGTAAAGTTATTTCGAAGTTATCTCGTAACTTATCGCAAACGTACAGTGATGGCCTTCACTTAATGAAAGTTTGCGATATATCCAATGAGTAATAATATCAAAGTAAGAAAAAAAAAGATATACTCTGTGATCACTCAATCAAAAAAAAATAGGCCAAATTACCAAGATTACAAACCTTTTGACCAGCTTCTTTGAGTTGATATAGCGCCTGCAGCTTTCGATTGTTTTCGCGGATACTGCTGACTTCACGGGCAATTCTCGTCGACCAGCGACGCGCCTCTTTGCCCAACGTTGTTGCTGCCGCATGATCAGCGGTTACCCTGAATTTTGCAAAAATATCACCCAAATTATGCCATCAAAATCTAAATTGTTACCTCGTAAACGTAATTTAACGCTAACTGAAATTGTTTAATTTTGATTTTATCATTGTATATTGAGAATTATATCCGTATTGTGAAAAGTTATACACAGAGTATCGCTGTACTGCCTCTGTTATATCATTATTAGGTTGACACAAACATGTAAGATTTAAATACAAATCTACATGATATATCTCTATGCAGATGCTTTACGATATATAAATGATTTACGAACCTTTCTACTTGATCATTATCGCAGCGCTCAAAGTCGTACTGAATGTGTTGCTTCAAGACAGGATAGTATAAACAGCAACATTGGATATTGTATTCTCTAGTAAGCTGTAAGTTAATTATTAATTATTAGTTAATTTCTTAATTATTAATTTTTTTTTTTTATTTATTATGATTGAAAGTTAATATTTGTTTCATAATTTTATTAATAATAATGTAATAGTTATATTAATCATTATTAATATTATTATACTTGTTTATATATTTTTCGTTTGCACATTGGTGATTGATTTTTAAATATACCTGCTGAGCTTGATCGCGAATTTTGCCGAAGCTGTTTTGCGTAGCTAGACAAGTGAGTAGTTCCGTGCGTCCCATCAGCGTCAAATATTCCGCTACCTTATCGTAAACTCCTTGTTCCAAATACTATAAATAACATATGAAAATATAGTAAAATAATAAATGAAAAATGTCTTCAATGTAAAATTACATACTAAAAATATTGTTTGATTTTATCTTTTGATTTATCGCCCGTATATAACCGTCTTTATATGACATACTCACTTGCATAGTGGACTGTAAATCGACTACAAAATATCGGTTTTGATGGGCATTGGCAGCGGCGAGACTCAATAAGTAATCATTGCGTGCTCCGGTTGATTTCTCCTCCAAAGCGTCCCGCTTCGAGCTCACCTGAGCAATCACAGACGAATTTTATCACATAATTTTTATTATTCCGATCATACAATTTCTATTTTTTTTATTCTTCTTTGTTAAATGAAGTATTTAAATAATGTTTTTCATTTTTATTTTGAAAATTTATATATAACATTCACGCAAGAAGAGCTTTTAAAAAAAATAGAAGAATTTTAAAAGATTCCGATAATTTGCATCTTGAAATGCCAGTGATAAAGCGTTTGATAGCGATAATATGAATATACCTTGGCGCTATTTTTCTGTAACGACGTTATCGACTGGAAGAAGGAGCCTTTTTTCTTCTTCAATCTGAAAGCATCGATCGCACATGAATTATTCCGTTCACGATTATATAGCTGGTTTTATACAGTCAGCTAATAATAATAGCAACATACAGTGTGTTAAGAAAAAACGCAAATCAAAGTATTATAACAATAAAAAAAAAAAACAAAGTAGGTATAAGAAAAATTTAGTTAAAAATAAATTAGCGATTTTTGTAGAATTTTTTACAAAAAAATATTTTATTAAAGTTTCTGTTTGTAGAAATTTTGTTATTCTCTTAAAAAATGCATATGCTTTTGACGTATATGTATAGAATTAAATTTTTACGTGTTTTTCGTTTCACGTGTTGAAAAATACTTTTATAAGTAAAAATCAATATACATACTTTTCTTCAATGTCCTTTGCTTTATCGCGCACATCGTGTGCGCTATGTTCTTCGTCGAAGTACAACTTCTTCGTTTTGTCGACATCCTGTACGCAGGTTTGTAGCTCCTTTTGTACTATCAATAATTGGTCAATTGCCTGAAATTTAATTATTACAAAAAGTATATAGTATATTGCATAATTTTATTTACGCACAGTTAACACCAATCAAATTTCACATTAAATAAAAATTTGTCCTGTCAAGAGACACGATCGTGTCTCGCGCCAAGTATCTGCACGTAAAATTGTTAAAAAAATGTTTATCTATCAAATTTTTATTAAGAAACGGCACGGAAATTTTTTACGAAAATGCAAAACATGCAGCGGCACACTATTTCTTAATTTTTAATATTAAATATCTTTGCACTTAAATTTTTTAAATTTAATAAGATTTAGATTCTTGCATAGATCTACATGTATATATTGATATCATTTTCATTCAAGTATATTAAAGTAATATAAAATGCATTTTAATTTAATAACCGATGAAATTATATGTCAGTACCTTCTTGGAAATCTGTAGCTTGTGCATCTTAAGAACCTTGGCGTCGTCGGCGATCTGCTGCTGGAAGACTTCGACGGCTGCAAGACGCGCGCGCGCCAGCTTTTCGTTTTCCTCCAGCACAGTTCGCCACACGTTCCACATGTTCCTGTAATCATTCGACCGCCCACCGCGGATTGCCATTTATCTATGACCCTTCTCCTTGGCAAACTTCCCCAATCGATAAGCAACTGGCGTTTGAAACCAGTATAATTTCGTGCAAATCAAATTTTTATGTAAAACGCATGCCAAACCATTTCTTATAAGATCTTGTTAAGACTCTCAAGATGAGAATAAAGATGTACGTAAATAATTGAAAAAAAAATAAAATAAAATAAAATAAAAGGTCTAATGTTATATGCAAATTTTTGTTTCACGCATTCCAATTACCATTTCTCTTCTGCTCCATCGACTTTGAGATCTGGTATGTTTGGAATCTTCTTGTTCAAGTATGCGGATGATATTTTCAATAACGCCTGAAAAGCGATATTAGCACTCTATAATATATATTATATAAGAATATATATAATATACATACACAGTACACGTGCGCGCACACACACACACACACACACACACACACACACACACACACTTAAACTGTTAAATAACGAAAATTAAGAAATTACTTACCTCAGAGTAAGATTTTTCAATGGCAGATTTTTTTATCGTAAAATTACTGAAAGAAGCAGAAATCTATGTTTATTCAATTGTTCGTTTAAAAAACTTTTAGGCTTTCTAAGATCATTTTTTAAATAATATTCAAAAATTTTGTGTATGTAAAAGACGTTCTTTAGTAAGATTCTTTTCAACACTTTTGATTTAATCCTTTTTCAAATAAAATTAATTTAAAGAAACTTTCTCTATAAATAGTCTGTGTTTAAGAAACAATATTATGACAAAATAATGTTGCCTGATCTTGTTTATGTAAAACTTACCGTATATCTTCTAAAAGATCGCATTCGTGTTGGTTTTTCGCTTGCAATTTTGCCACTTGCTCCGTATGTACATTCTTTAGAAACTTCGCGAAATTTCCCTTACAATCAAAGAAAAATTAATTAATTAAATAGCAAACATTTCATTGCTTTAGTTTTATATTACAAACATTAAAAATTCCCATGTTATTTTGTTTTAACACTAGAAACACCGACGATTAACATATATTGGTTTCTATTTTCTTTCCTTTCTAAAAAAGAATTAAGAGAAAAAAGACATTAATCAATATAATCATTAACACAATGCAACAAGTCACGGAAGTATCAGAAAATATAACATTGCAAATTTAAATAATTGTTATAAGAAATTGCAAACCGCATCATTTTGTACCGCTTTCACAGTCTAATGTTAAATAAGTCATGTGGAGGCTACAATAGTCACACATGCACACACAGCAAACCATTGCAGGAGCCAATATATCTGGCGCGGACGATTATACCTCTATTAATTTTTTATTCTATTTTTGCATAAAAATTTTATGTTATTCACAGACATATCTGTGTCAAATATTGGTGTAAAAACTCGATATAATGTTAACTTTTTGCGAAGAAAAATCATGATAAAGCTATTTGTTTTTTTTTTAAATGTTTTTTTTTCAAATATATTTAAATTTTGATGTTATAGACCCAATTTACGGAAAATAGATCTTTTGTTAGATAGCTAGCACACACATTCTAATATTGTATTATTATATCATTATTATTATTATATATACTATAATATCATTAGTCTTTTAATTATCCATAAAATCAATAAACAAAGTTATCAAATACATAATTATTATAGTTTAGAAATTAAAATCAATACAATACTTTTTAAAACTTTCTAAAAAAAAACTTGATAAATCAATTTCGAATTGAATATACATTCTCTACAATTATCGTCAATATTTTTATATTCTGTATACATCTTTTAATTATATTCCATATTTTTTCCATTATTTTATTATTCTATTCTATTATTGTTTGGTATTTGTGTATTAATTTGTATAAAAATATACGGTCTCGAAAATTGCGTTTGTAAAATCAATAGAGGTGTTTTATATAGAGATTAAAATCAATATAGATAAGAATCCTTTAGGCAGATTTTTCCACAATTATAGCACGGAAAAGCGGTGCGATATAAAATCTTATATTTGGCACTCTGAATAAGATCGATTTTCCTGTGCGTCTGACACAAAAAAAAATAACTTTTCAGTTTCAGAGACACTTTGCTCGGAGCAAAGACATTTCCATATTAACAACATGGAAAATTGAACTCTACGGAATTTAAACACCCCCCCACCCACCCCCGTGTTTAGTATAGTTCGCGAGAATGCAGATTGACTTCTTACTTTTCTTGGCGGTGGTTGCATGCTGAGGCGAGTTTTTCCCGCAGCGCCGAGAGATCGAGAGGAGAGGTCAATTTTACTCTCACTCGCCCTCGCTCGCTCGCAACTAACCTTTTATGCGCACACACCCCACGCACGCACGCACGCACGCACCCTCGCCGTGCACCGTTCGTGCGCCCGTACGCTACTGATCTCCTGCCCTCCTGAGGCCATCACCGGGGGTAGTGCGCCGTTTATTGATCGTCCAACTCCCTCCTCCGATGGCGCTTGCGCCACTTCCGGGTCGGCGAACGACTTCCTCCTCGACGACCTACTAAGCCTTAAAAAGAACGAAGGATGAAAGGGTGGAAAAGGGGTAGATGAGAGAATGATCAAAGTTCTCATGATGATTTTAATTATTGTAATCAGTAATTTGCGATATCATAAATATTGATTTTGTCAACTGTATTAAAAAAAAAGAAAAATAAACACTTGCAAGATCTAGTTTGATTTTAATACTCAATTTGACGTATCGCGAAATGTGTACAATTCGCTCAATGTGTAAGATGAATGGATAATTTCAATAACTTCGACAGCAGAAATATACTTCTGACGATAAAAGTGACAGTCTTCATTTAAAGTATCGTTACAATTTTTTAAATAAATACGAGTTTATAGTTAAAAAAATATGAGAAACATTATTGAATCTTTCCAATTATTATATATATACACAAATGTGTGTTGCATGTTGCGCGTCGTGTATGTGTGCGCGCGCGCGTGGTTATGTGTTTCTTTTTTTCATTACCTACACTTCATTATGCATAAACTTGTTTAGGAAAGTCCTTTACCAAAACCTTTTATTACATATATGTAGCATAAAAAATCACATCCTGTGCCGCGTGTGCCGCAAATTTTGACAACTCTCGGCAGCTATTTGGCAGCCATTGCAATCATAGATATAATAAAGTATAGACTGCGCACTCCTTATCTTAAAGCCAAGTACACAAGTTCCGTAGCTGTAAGCATAAAAACCGTACATAAGCATTGACCAATAAAGAAACGTCTGTAATATTTTTCAAATTTTGTCCACCGTTCGAACGACGTAAGCACTCTATACTTATTACGTTTATGGTTTATGGCAATAGTTAAGTAACTGTTCACAACTGTTTTGAACTGTTTTAAGGTGACTGATAATTGGATAATGTTATGATCAGTTGTGATCTTTGATTGCAAATGAATTAATTCGCAACTTTGGTCGCCCAAAAAATTGCGAAGGTTTAAAAAGATTTAAAAATGACTTTTCGAATTTTACATATGTGTACAATAGTGAAGAATTCACTAAAAAGTAATCAATCTTTAAGAAATGGTACGACGAATAAAATATATATCACTTACAAGTTATCGTATAATTTATATGTATATCTATTATAAATTAATTTACTATCCTAACACTATACTCTAAGGCTAAAAAACTTTGCAGGTATTTATGATTCATTATGTACCAGGTATTCATATCTGTTAAAAACACATGTTCCTTTACAATGTGATGTGAAAAATGCAACATTTTTCGTGAACAGTAAGTAAATTCTTTTCAAAATCTTTTGAAATATATATGTATATATTTAATATTTTATTATGTTTTTCTTTTATAGAATCTGGAGATGAATTGTGGAAAGGTGTGACAAGTGTCAGTAATGCAGGTAGGCGTAGAGGCAGAGCGAAAGGTTTAGCCAGAAAAAGAGATTTAAACAGGGGTCAGCTTCTTGGTGTTGGAAAGATTCCCATACAATTTCCTGGTTTAAATACTTCTGTATTTAGAGGAAAGGAATTAGTTCAACAGCAGAAGTTACCTGTAGACCCTGAAAGAGAAGAGAAACTCGCAAAACTAAGACAAACTCAAGTCGGACGAAGGCGGAATAAACTATCACCTTTGGAACGTGGTTGGACAGGTGCACAAATGGGTGGCAGAAAACTTGGACCACCTGATCCTGTTGGAGAAGGTTACTAATATTGTCATCAAATTATAAAATTCTTTAATATAATTTAATGATCTCTTTTTTGTTACTTTTGTATTGGTTATATTAGATACGAATAATCAATTTTGACTTTTAGATCATTTCGATGGCTTTGAGAGTTGGATTTTGGAATCTAAAATAATAAGTTGCATGACTGGCACTTTAGGACGCAAGAGCAGATTTAGTTTATTTGTTATAACAGGAAATGGAAATGGACTAGCAGGATTTGCAGTAGCAAAAGCACCTACAGCTAAAGCAGCTTCAATCACAGCTAAGAATAGAGCTGGCCAAAAACTAATGTTTATCCCTAGATATAAGGAGCATACTGGTAAGAAATAATAAAATAATGTTCTAAAGTAATATTTTTATAAATATGAAGTAAGAAATGATATAATATATTGCACAATTTATATACGTTTTCTTTTTAATAATCTGACTTGGTATTTTTCAGTACTTCACGATTTCTTTACGCAGTTTGGACGTACAAAGATATTTGTGACGAAAATGCATGAAGGTTATGGGCTTGTTTGTCATCGTGCAATAAAAGCATGTTGTGAGGCAATTGGCATAAAGGATATATATGCCAAAGTAGAAGGGTCTAAGAATTTGCAGAATATTATTAAAGCCTTTTTTATTGGTCTATTGCGACAGGTATGTATATTGAATTTTGTAAGAACATCCTACGAGCTCTTTTTAATGCATATTAGATATTTAAATCAAGACGTCAAATTAAGAATGCAAATAAATAGCAAAAATTTTTTACTTACTGAAGTTTATGTTATTAAATTTTTTATTATGAATATATTAAATATGAAGAAGTGGTGCGCAAAGTCGCTGGTCTTATTTATAATGGATTACAATATTACGCAAGAAATCACGTATGAATTTTTATTATAAAATAAATAAATAAAATAAAATTTGCAGAAATCATACCAACAACTAGCGGACGAGAAGCGGTTACACTTAGTCGAATTTAGGTCGGAAAATGGAAACTATCCGGAAGTAATTGCATCGCCGTTGAAAGTCAGAAAGGCAGAAGAAGTGCAGTCTCATGAAATTCGCAATTTTACGCAATACGTGATGGGTGGCAAAGTAGTACTACGAAAAAAGAAATATCCGCCGTTCTTTACTAAACTTCCATCTTGGAAAGTAAAGTTGAGAAAACTAGAACGATTAAGACACGGTGATGATACAAGGATGAAATTAATAGCAGAATATGGAGCGCTTCATAGTTTTCTCACTGAGAAATACCCAGAAGCAAAGCTAAAGCTTCCAAAGTGGAAGAAGAAACGTGAAAGTGATGAAACAGAAATGGAATAAAATACCATTGTTATGCTCTAATATATAAGTGTATTCAAGAAAAAGTTTGTATAGCTAGAATATTACATTTTTGAAGTTAAACATATTGATATCATTTTATGAATAAGACACCTTTATAGAAATATAAGCCTTATATTTAATAATTTTTTATTATACACATTTCATATACTTTTTTTTTTTTTTTTTTTTTT